AAAAAAATGAAAATTTTTTTAAAAAGAAACTGTTTTAAAACAATTTAGATTTACAATTAATAGTTGAAATTTGGACATTACATTTCGTTTTCCGATCATTGTTTTCTTGTTCAGTTTCTGAATCCACGTAACATTTCTTTTGAAAAAATTAAATGAAAAACACATCAATAAAGTAGCCGTCTATATCAAAATTGCTTAAAGTTCATCATTTTTCATTTTCTTTGCATATTTCCTTGCTTTCAACATAAAGCATTGAAATTGGATGTCAAATATTTATTAATTGGAAAAATATTTGAAGATATAAATGTATAGATTACTATCTATAAAAATTACTATTAAAAAAAATGCATTTCGTTTTAGGAAAAATTAAATTGACTATGATGCTCAAGCCTGTAAGTAATCATTGGAATTATGCTTGAGAGCGGCAATATTAATATTATAATAGCAAATTACCCGCGGCTTTATATAGTGCGCTGGCATATCCAAAAAAGGTGTCTTTTTTAATATGGTGTGCGCGGCGCGTGGTGTTATTATCACTAGGCGTGCATGACGTGTGTCCCCGCGGGCATCATCAACCTCCAACTACACACACGTGTTTTGTGCTGTGTGCACTGCTATTTGGTGGGGTAGGTCACGTCCACGAGTGTGTGCACCGAGAAGAAGTCTTGCTTGGCTCGCGCACAAGGTGATGGATGAGAATGCTGCGTGTAGCCATTCTTTCCGAACGCAGGGAAATTTATCGCTTGTTTTAAGGCTCCTGCTTTTTATGGCGCTTCGGGGAGTTATCGTCGCGCGTTCCACGTCATGTTGTACACACAAAAGCTGATCAGTGGTTCGCTTTCTTCGGCCCCCGCCAAAGATAAATGCGATCATATAAGTGATGCGTTTTATTGACTCGGCGTCCCCCTCGATCAAAGTGAAATCCGTTTGCAAAATAAATAAAAAAAATTATTGCTGCGGTTTATGCCTCAAATAACATCATCAAAATATTTATTAAACACATGTGTGTACAACATACAAAAATGGCAATACAATTTACAATGTTTACAAAATTTACTTTTTATAATTTTTATGCCTCAAATAACAATTTTCAATTTTTTATTAATATGTACAGGAAAATTTTATAATGCATAAAGTTAGTCTTGAAGAAAAGGTAAAATTAAAATTTTCCATATATGTTCTTGAAGTTGTTGTTGTGGAACCTTTTGGCACTTCTGCGAAATAGTTTTTTAATCATTAATTTTTATTTTTAAATAGTATAATACCTTATTTAACTTCTATTGAAATTAATTTAAAATAGAAAATGCGCAATTTTTTTTGTTTGATATATGAAAATTTATCAAAAAAAAAAAAAAAAAAAACTCTTTTTTATATCACCCAATATCATCTGGCCTAATAGTGCAACCACTGAGTGCTTAGCATTTTATTCTAAAAATAAGTGTAAAAAAACTTTGAAAACCCTTTCGCACAAACTGATAAAATAAATTGTGAATCTTAATTTTTACCTTCTAAGATATGTAAGTTGAAAGTTGTACTCAATTGAGTTTTCAATAAAGACCACATATAACTCATTATGCTAATGATATTAGTTTTTAATACCCGCTTTCAATACTACCTACTGGTAATTCTTTAACCTCCACAAAGTAGGTAACCAATTAGACGCACTATTTTTTTTATTTTATACTTTATTTTCATTTTTAATTACCTCAACACAATTTCATTGGCTTTATTATTAATCTGCATAGCAAATCCAAATCAAATGTTAATTTTATTAAAAAAAAATTAAATATAAATATATTTTAATTAATTATCATAATAAAATTTATAGCTAAGTTTAAAACAACTTATATAATTAACACATAAATACAATTATTTTAATTTAACTTTCAATCTCTCCATTTGATTGTCGTTTTTCTGCCGTGATGTATTAAAAGTTGCGAAAGAGCCGATCTGGCCGCCGACTCTCTCTGCGCGAATAATATATTTGACCGGTTCAAGTGTGTATGTGTATATTATATTACGAAAGTAAGCTGGAAAGAAGCAAAGGAAGGCGAGGCGTTTTCAGCGGAAAAAGATAGAGCACGAACGAGGACGAAAGAGAATAAGCGCGGGGAAATAAAGCGCCGAGGCGCCGTCGCGACCATGCGAGACAAATTATGGACGCGGCGGACGATTTTTTTTATTAAAAAGTAAACGGAATAATTTACGTTCATAGGCCTCTGCGGGAAAACACTGAACGGGTTTTTATTAAATTTTATAATATACTTACAACTCAAACAAAAAGGATGAACCATGAAATAGAATTTTTTATTTCATTTTTATGGTTAAATTTTAAAAATTACCTTCCTTTATCAAGAACTAATTTTAATTAGATTTCATTAAAAATCATAATTCAGCAATGAATTAATTTGAGTAGCAAAGTCAGTCGACAAAGGGTGGAGTTTAAAGAGTGAATCAGGCGCGAAAAATAAATCACGTTTTTCGTTGCAAGCTGCTCATTAGCGAAATGAGCCAGCACTTTTCTTCTAGACGAGATTTCCCAAGAGCCATTCAAATTCGAAACTTTTTAATTCCATTCAATTATTCAAGTCGGCCGACCGGGTTGAATGCATTATGTGCGCGCGCGAGTCGCACAGATAGAGAGACTCGGCCGATATATCTGCGGTGCAGCGCGGGTTGCCTGCCTGCAAGAGAGAGAGAGAGAGAGAGAGAAAAGGGCTGCTGGGGCTCCGGCGGCGTAATACGTGCCCAGGCCCAGTAACCAGGCAACTGCCGTCTGTGTGAGCGCGAAATGTGTGTACATGGTACATGGCAATGCGAATAAAAGTAGAGCCATCTAGCGCGCTTCCAAAGAAACCACCTTTTTGCACTAATTAATATTTACATCCCTTTCGGCCGGATTTGCGAGAGAGCGGTGCGGCAAAAAAGCACATCTTGCGGCCAGAAAAGGGTCTACTTTATATGCCATTGGGATAAATGATCTCCCGCCGGCAAACACGACCTCCCAATCGTGGCTGAAACACTGCGCCTCGTTTTCAAATTTCAATTTCGGCAAATTATTTTGTGTAGGAAAAAATAAACACAGGAATTAATAAATTTTGCTCGTGATTTAACAAATTAAAATGAGGAATGAAAACAATTTGAGCAACTAAACATAAACAAGTGAATTATATAATCGCTTTTTGAAAACCGGACGAGCCTGTCAGAGGCAATTAAAAGTGACTTACATAAAATTGTGTTTCTATATGTAATATATTTCTGTACACACTATGTGGATATAAAAATTTTCTATAATTAAATAATCGCCTAATAAAAGCATCAATCTTTTCACATAGTTTTCGTATTTATACAAACAAGGAAATTTCGTGTGAAAACGGTCGATGACATTGGACATTGTAAGGATGATAATGGATTTTAAAATTAATTGCATCTTTTCAATTCTTTGATTTTTTGATGACACTAGTCAAAATCAAAATTGGTCCAGTAGGGGACTGTGTAGTCAGGAGATCAGAGAATTGTTACGTTGTCTACCAAAGCCGATTCTTAGAGTTTTCTTCGGTCACGCTGAACCAATTTTAATTTTTCCAGCGCCAGTATTTTTTTTTTATTTTGCATGTAGTAGTTTTAAGATTCTCAAATATAGCTCTCACATTAAATACTAAATTACACAATTGGGATTTTTGCTGGGAGAGAATTATCAGTTGATAAGAGCGTCGCTGATAAGAATTGAGAAGACACCGGTTTAAAAGACCTTATGCAAAAGCAATAATTAATTTAATTATTGTAAAAAATTAACTTCCTTAAAAATTTGAAAATAGTTTCAGGGCTCAGGGTTAGCTAGACCAAAAGAAAAAGAAATAAGTAATTAGGTTTCAAGTTGCTCTTTAACTGTCCGTAAGAGGTTATATAAAGATAACAATTTATTAGACAACTTAAACCAATAATATTGATCAAAAGATTTAATTGATCAGTTTCTATTATCCCAACTGGATTTCATTGAAAAACAATTGAGTTTAAAAGTCTAGATATTAATATTATATAATTAAAATTGAATTTTGTTTCAAGAAATCCAAGAAATAATTAATTTAAATTATAGGATCTCATAATATATGCCATATTGAAATTATTTAGAAAAATTAGATAAAAGATTTAAACACTTCAGATTATTTTTAAATTTTAAACAATAAAAGTTTATTTATTGATTATTAAAAATATAAATTTAATATTTTCATGTTAATTAGTGAAGTTAATAAAAACTTGAATAATTAATGAAAAAATGTAATATTATTTTGAGAGAGGCGTCCGTGTGTGTTTGTGGGTTTTGCGAGTGCGAGCGCCGGCTCAGCAGCAGCGAGAGAGAGAGAAGAGAGAGAGAGAGAGAGAGAGCGAGCGATTGGTAGGGCACGATATACAGTTTGCTGGTATGGAAAATGTGCTCCATCACTGCTCTGGCACAGAGCACAGTCGTCGTCGACGCGAGTGGAGAGAAAAAATAAAGGCAGGCAAAGTACATTTGGAGAATGAGCGAGCGAGAGCCGCGCGCCGCGCGGCCGAGGATCGCAGCAACGCTAGCTCAAGCGTTCCCCGCCACGCTCCACTCGCCGCTCTGAGTCATGACAATTTCGTCACAGCCCAAGGCTCTCGGGTCATACAACACGAACATATACGAAGCTACTACTATACGGCGCATAACAATGCCAAAGTCCGCCCCTAGCGCATGCGAAACTCGCCCTTGCGCCCTCGGCCATAAGGCTCATTTTTATATTTGGTAATTTTTTCTAGAAACACCAACCTTTTCCAAGATAAAAATAAAAATTATTTTTCCAAATTGAAAACTAGGATTGGATTTTGTCTGAATTCGGGCCGATTTTTTGCGCGGCACCGCTTATTCTTCGGCGCCGGCAGTTTCCTCTCCTCTCCTCGCTGGCAGGCTGGGTGCGATGGGGCGAGGGGAAGTGGTTGGGGTGAGGGAAGTAGGGGAAGTTGGTTGGTGTGTGTGTGCCACTGCTGCTGCCCGCCTGTGATGAAACCAGCAAGCAAGGCGAGCGAACTCGGGAGGCGGGATAACAGCAGATCCATCCAGTCGACTGTGTGTTCTCGTACGTGTGCATGGCGCCCTGTGTTGGTCTCGTCATCCCTGCTCTCGTTGGCTCGCAGTGCACATGGACTAGCGGCCCTTGCCAGTAGCAAAGAAGAGACTCGACAATTCGCCCGCCGAACAATGAAAAGGACGGTGAAGAGGGGCCGCTGGCAGCGGCCTTCAGCCCTTTTCTGACTCCGACGATGTGGAGTGACCAGACGACGACGCCAGTCTGCCCGAACACCCTGCAGCAGGTAATTTTTTTAAACAAAAGTGGAGACAAAGTCCTAGTCCATCAGGCAGGTGTTGTCGAGATGTCGAGCATGTGATTTCGCCAATTTATGTTGATATCTCGCGCGCGGGCCGACCGCGGCACAGGAGGGGAGGCGCCGCACTCACGTTGTCCGCCGCAAACATCCCCTTCTACTCTCTTTTTACTCTTCATTCTTCTTTTCTTGGTGACGAGACCGCCTATTACCCAGTCTCTCTGCTCCTTATGCCCTTATGGATGTGCATCGTTACCATGACGACCAAGAAAGACGCACTTTTCGCCCAATTCACGCCAAAGTCCAGTCTCGTAGTCAGTGCGACCGAAAGAGCCCAACGCCGCGCTCGGTGCCACTTTCCTCCTAACAATCCCGAGCCGAACGAGGAAAATTCCTTTCAAATAAATAATCAAACATTATTTCCTTCCTTGTCCTGTAAGTTCAAATATTGGCAGCTGCGGTGAGGGTCTTTAAATTTTGAAATTAAATCAAAATTTAGGCGCCAAATTTCAAATTGGTTAATTCAATTTTATTAAATTTTACGAATTGAAACTTGAATCAGGATTTGAAAATAGTTTTGAAAAATAAAACCGCGAGTTCTTGAGCTGGTGGAGCTGGTTTTTGCACAAAGCGACATCCGACGAGCAGCTTTAGCTTTTTTTTTAATCTCTTCGGTGTGTGTTGTCGGCAGTGCAGCTTGCTTTGGTGAAAAGGGCAGCTGGACATGCGTCCATCCTCTGCGGCGCGGCTCAAATTCAGCTTGTTGCATTTCCTCCCTACGCACGTGGCCATTGTTTCACGGCACCTGCGTTAATTAGCCCCCGACTCACTCTGAATGAACTCCTTTCAACCCTGACCTCTGATTACTTTTTTCGCACCTCCCCATTAATTCGCAGAGAGAGAGAGAGAAATTCTTTTATTTGCATTCCAACTTTGGCGCTTTCGCAAAACAAAAGTAAAAACAAGCGGCTTGTTTGTTTACGGGCGCGAAAATGATTAGTTTCCCGGGCCGCTGATTGTTTTCGCTCAATCACTCCGCGCCGGTGAAATGATTAATTAACGCGGCGCCGCGCCAGCCATCGATGGTGTTTCCGTCGCTAATCGCTCAGATCCTTACTTCGTGTTGGATGGGCCGCTCATTAATAATATTTAAACTACATTAGTTTTATTAAAAATGTTTCTAGCAAAAGGGTTTTATTCTTTTGGCCTTTTATTCGGATGTAAAATAAATTTGAGAACTTAATTTGTTGAATAAATAATCGATTGTTAGTTTTAAAAATCAATAAAATTGGTCCATTTAATTAAACCTTTTGAAATTGTACTTTTATTTTAATTAAAATGTACTCACTTTTTATTAATTTATTAGCACAACAATATTAATTAATAAAAATAGATAGAAATACTTGTCTGATCTAAAAATAACCAATCACATAAGTAACATTTTTTTAAGAGCAGAGGGAAAATAATTGTGCTGGCTGCGCAGCCGTCGCCGTTTTCTTCTTTTTCTGTTTCGGGCCCAGCGAGGCTGCTTGGCCGATTCCCCGTTGTGCCCCAAAGAGCCGCGTTGGCTGCTGGCCAGCCTTCTACGGCAACCCACATATAAACCGTGGCCGCCTCCAAAAGCTAATCCCTTTTCAATAATCCAAGTTCAGAATTAATTAATTCGCCTAGGAATTAAAAATTAAGGCGCTAATCGGGCGAAAAAGTAGATTTCGCAAACATAATTTAATCGGGGTTTGTTTTGCCGACGGACGTCCTCGCAAGATATTATTAAACCTGCTTGTGCGCCACAGCAGAGAGAGAGAAGAGAGAACTCGGTCCGACCCGACTCTCTGTGTGTAGTGTGAGGGTTGAAGTTTCGTTGCTATAGTAACCAATATATATGTAATAGTGTTAATATTGATCCAGAGAGGGGGTTGAGCGTGAATTTCATTATTGTCACAATAATAATAATAATCACTTGGTCATGCGTGCAGCCCAGCTCAAGGTTCTGCCTAATTTTTCACGCGCCCAATCAATTAAAAGTAATTAAAAAAGGCTCATGATTTGATTTTATATAAAAAATAATAGTTATCTTGCTTAAAACGTAATTATTGCTACTTTGATATAACAGCAAAAAAATTAATTAAAAAGTCAATTTTAATTACCTTCTTTTTGATGCAGATTAATTATGGTCACAAATATTATAAAATTAAAAAAAAATTATGTATCTAAATAATCAACAAAATTTATTTAAAGTCAATAGAACACTAATAATTTAACTAAAAAATTAATTTTTAACCAAATATATTTGAAATGAAAAATACCAACCAATAATCAATTAAAAAAATAATATTAGTAATAAAATAATTATAAGTTTATTCAGTTCATTTAGAATATAATTATTTTTAAATTTTTTAAATAATTTCTTTCAAATCTAACTATTTTGTTGAATACACTAGATTTTATTTGTGTTGTACTTCTGTATTAATTAAAAGCCAACAATAAGAGCTGCATTTAATATTTTCAAATGAAATTGAAAGCAATTAAGACTTACGCGTCCTGCACTTTTGTGGCTGATAAAAAAATTCGCGCGACGTTTCCTGGCCGGCGGAATGTGTTGGCCGGTTTATTGCACCCGCGGCGGCGGCATCACAACAATCAGCAGACACGCGGTCATTATGTAACAAGTTGAGGATCAAGGCCGCGTAATGATAATTTATTAATTTGCCGCGCCGCGTGCCACTCGAGCTTAGAAGTGTATTACGGCTGATTATGGCAGTGATTAATAGCAACTCTTTCTTTCTTTCGTCCAATGTTTACTATGAGGTCGAGCACTTATGCTCATACTTACATTAAATTTATTGACACAGCGATAAAAACACGTGTACTTTAATTTACGCGCGCGTTTGTATATTTATGAGCAGCCGCGGCGTTTAAGGATGTTTCTGCCGCGCGCGTGATTTATTGGTGTGATGATCGATCAGCCGTGCGATATGCCATTTCCCTTTCAATTTCGCACCAGTTTGCGTCCATTCATGTGATTTTATTGCAAAAAGATTCGTGGATAGTGCAATGTGAGCCATTTATCAAATCTAAACTGTACAATTGTTTTTAATTAATAATCAACATTTTTCATTATTTTTAATTAAACTTAATTTTATTCTTACAATTTACTTTCAGATTTAAACCAGTTAGTTGTTTTATTATTATTTTTTCTAATTTAATTGTAAATATAAAATTGAGACTTCTCATTGTCACAATTGTTTGAAGCTTTCCTTCATAATTCATTAAAATGCTAAAGTTGCTGAGCTTTCAATTTTGGAAAATTAATTATTTTTCATCAAATATTTAAATTATTATTTATTTAAATTATAAACAATTTAAGAATAAATTTTACGAACATAAACAAAAAATCATCAAAATTCACCTTATATAGAACGTTTTAGGAAACTGTTTTATTTTTTTTTACGGTCTGCCGGTTGAAGCAAAACAAAGCGCAGATAATGGTCTTTGACTGTGTCTGTCTTGATTTCTGAGAGAGCAACAGAGAAAAACGCGCGCCATAAATAATGGTGGTCGGAATTGATTGATGGCAATCGGCTCGATGGAGCGTGCGGCCTTCTTTTCCTAGGTCAGTGCCGCGGCGCCGGTCAACCGAGCCAGCAAGGTGGGAGCCAAATTCAAATTACATACAAATATGTTGCGCCGCTGATAAGCATCGGCGCGTATTTTGTTTTATTCATATCATGTGAACGGCGGCGACGGCGTCAAAGCGCATTCATTCATATTCGAGCTATAAAGTGGCGCCCGCTCTCTCAAATTATGCGCCCGCAGCTCGCGATAATTATTTTATGCACGCACGTGCATTTTCGTCTGCAGTTGTCTGCAATCGTTAATTTAAAGTTCATTCAAATTTATTAAAAAATTAAATTCATTTTTTAATGTAATAATGTTTTCTTTAGAAAACTGATTTTAAATTATTGGCATTATTTTATTTCCTGATTTTCTTTCTATTGTCTGATTTTGGTGCCCGGTTTAAGCAAAAGAGACCAAAACCACGTTTAATTTTATCAGAAAAATCCTAACAAAGTTCACATTTCAATTTAACTTAAAAAAAGAAGCTAATAAATTTTGTGGCAAATTTTTTTCTCAAATGAACGGTAAATTCAAAGTGTTTGCTCTGAAATTTTGATAATTTTGTGAGATTTCTTCTTTAATTTGTTTTAAAAAACGAAAAATTTGTGTAATTTTTATTTTCAACAACCGTCTAATTTGATTATAATAAAGAAAATATTAAATAATTATTTGAAATTATATTGGTTATTCAAGTGACTTTGATTGAGATAAAAAAAATATCACAAAAGAATCAAACTGTCCCATTACAAAGCGTTTAGTTTGCGATGCATAGTGCCTTTTTTATGCAAATGAGTTTGAGCCGAGTCGATTTAAATTGTATCATTTGTATCGAGCGTTGCTATTAATCGCCGGCTAATTTGTCGTGTCTGCGACTTAATTAATGGCGCGTGCTGCCTTCACGGCTTTGAAATGCACTCGAGTTTTTTTATATTTATGGCAAATGCGTGTGTGCAGCGCGTAAAGAGGCGCGACACCTGTCAGTCACGTGACACACGCTGCGTCGAATTCTTTCTTTCTTGACCTAGCCGCGTGGTGAATTGCAGCTCAGCAGCCACACGCGGCGGTGATAACTTGGACTTTTTTCTCGAGTATGAGCGAGAGAGAGAGAGATGCGATTACGTGGGTATCGCGTATCACTTTTGATGTCGCACGCCGCGACCCGCGCAACCAGCTCTCACTTCTTTCAATACCAAGATCAGCTGCTGAGGAAAAGTCACACCGATCCATGGTTAATAGAGTCACACACGTGGCTTTATAAATTTGTACAAAAAATTATTATTAATATTGGTTCCCTATTCTTAATTGCTGCTTATTTTCTTCTAAAGCAATACAATTTTTAAATATTTTAAACATGCATATTTTTGAATTTTTTTTTCAAATGCTCATTTTCTTTATTTCACTTTATATTTAATACTTATCATATTTTTCAATAACTTGCATTAATTGTATTTGTTTTAATTTGTTGCGTTTTGAAATAAGTTTACCCAGTTTAAAGCAAACATAATATATTTTAATATCAAATATAAATAAATATGCATCAACCCTATTTTCAATATTGTGTAATTCAAATAAATTTATCTTGATTGGTTCCTCCAGAGGTGCCGTTTCTATAAAATTGATTATTATTATATTTTTAATTAAAATTATAAATTAATAATGAATTTAAATATACCAATTTCTTAATAATGATTGATCAAATATGTCACTTTTTATTTTAAATAAAGAATTCGATGAAACCGATATTATAAATTAAAATTAATTTTGACTAACGTTTGTCCACGAAAATTCAGCTTTCTAAGAGACTGTGCAGGCAACGTGACCAAATATTCACACGTGACTCACTATCTATGACAATGAAGAAGGTGTGAAGCAGTGACCCTTATTTAAAAAAATTCATATCAATGTGAAGCTGATAACAGCGACAATCTATGACAAATGATTTAATTACATAAAACTTATTTGAAACTTTATTTATATGAGAAACAATTATTGGAAAGTACGCCATTTAATCGGAAAAAATGCCAAATTAATTAAAAAAAAGTTTCATTTCTCATCTCAAATATCCATTTGGACTTGAAATAATTAAATTTTACCGGAAACAATTCTTTTAAATAATTATCTGAAAAAAATTAATTAGAAATTTACTGTTTTATCTTTAGTCATTTTTTTTACGAGATTTTAAAATATAATTTTGAATAATTACTAAACAAAATCGGAATAAATAATTGTTTCGCTTTCCTCGAACGATGTTGTCATTTGCATTGTCGTGCCGGCGCAATTTGCAGCGTCACTAATTGTCCGCCGCCGCCGCGTGGACAACGGAGGTTCGCACGGCGCATTTGTTGTATTGCGCGCTTAAGCCTGGCAGCAGCAGCGAGCGTGGGTATCAGCACGGAACGCCGCTGCGTTGCCACGCCACGCAGGGCCGCCAGCGCCGCCGTCCTTTGCCTTCTCCCTTCCCGAACCCTTGCCTTTTCCGTGAAAATTTAGTTGAAAATCCGCTTCGGACGGCGCGAGGGGTGCTTTTGGGGGTCGAACTTGGGCTTCGGCGGGGTCATTTCTTTGCTCGGAATAAAAGTGGCATCGCCGAGCGAGCGGCCAACAGGTTAGGCAAAGAAGAAGTTTGATGGGAACGAGCGGCGAGAGAGAGAGAGGCACACATAGCGAGCGAGATCCTTTTGCTTCACAAAGAGTGGGAGGGAGGCTCTCAGGTATAGTCACCGCTATACCTGGCTTCCTTCGTGAGAGCCGAGCGAGCGAGCCAACCAGCACGCCTAGCGAACCTTCCTTTGAAAAGACCCTTTTCGAATGCCTCAGCGACACAGCATTACAAAGCCCTTGAACCTATTTCTTGCCGCGGCCCAAATTCCAACGAGTGGGCCAAATGAAAATTTGAAAAATTACAAAAATTTTAACACTTTTCTTAAAGGTGAAAGAAATTTTGTTGAAAAAATTAGTTGAAAATTTCACGGAAACCAAATTCAAAGGTATTATTAGAGAAATTATTTTTTTTTCAATTTACATTGTGAATTTTCTCAAAATCTTGCTGATTAATTTCAATTGAGATTTCACAAAACCAACTTCACATTTCTCCAATTCATTATCCTTATTAATTTGCTGAAACAAAATCGTGATTTATCTTGACCTTAAAATTTAAATAAAAATTAAGTGGCTTTTCTTCTGAATTAATCTTCTCTGAAATTAAAACTTCTTAACCTTTTCTTATGTTGTAAATTTTTCATGTCGACTATTGATTTTATTTTTCCATCTCAATAGGGGTGATTTGAACGGGATTTGGTGAATATTTTAATAAATTTTGGTCAATTTAAGGAAAAATTATTTAAGAAAATTCGTTAAATTTCAAATGAAAACGACTTAGACTTTTCTCACTACGTCTCCTTTCAACTATAAACCAATGTTAAGTTAGAGAAAAATTACCATAAAAATAAATAACTTTTTTGTAATGAAAGCTGTGACAAACTTAAATTAACTCATTTTATTGACAACTTTTAACTCTGTTTTTCCATTCGTTTGTCAATACAGGTTGTGAATGAGCGCGTCGATTGTTCACGCAAGGTGCTCCTTAAGTTTGATTAGACAAAGTCTCACTGCTCGTAGGCTCACTCGTTCAAGTCACCGCATTAGAAAACGCATCTGCCTTGCTTGCATTTGTAAAAGCGGCGCGGCTCTTCCTGCCGCGCTGCATTTTCTATTCTCAGCCGCGGCAGACGGACGGGGGGTGCAGCTTCTCGCTTCCCCTTCACAATGCACCCCAGTCGCGCTGCAGCAAGCAAGGGTGGCTCGTTCCAAGGGGGAGTTTGTCAGATGGGGAGCATTGTTGGAGCCGCTGCTGTTGCTCGCGCTCGTTCCTTCTGCACTTTGCTAATGGCACAAAACAATTCGGATCTTTTTGTCCCTCTGCAATTCTAGACAAATGAGGAAAAAAAGTGAAACCGCCTAGATAAAGAGGGCTGATGATTTTTATCGAGGAACAAAAAAAATAAATAAAATGAAAGAATGAAATAAAAAATCGGGTTCAAATCGGCCGGCAGGAAAAGGAAGTCGGACTTTTTGTGCGTCTGTCCACAAGGAACCCCCGATGTGGTTCTGAATTATACGCTCCCTACAGAAAAAAATTATTAAGTGGGAGCCCAAATTAAACATTTTAATTGTGTTCCAAACTATCTTAAATATTTAATATGGGAAATTGAAATTAAATTTAAAAAACATAATTTTCTTTTGTAAATTTCAATTATTTTAATATAAAAATAATAAAAAAATCTAATAAATTAAAATCAATAACTAAAATTCATTAAAATGTAACTTAAATTCACACAATTGATTATGTTTTTTGCAGATTTTCAAATTAAATTTTTTCTGCTCCTCATCCGGTTATTTCGCATTCCTCCTCCACGAGCTGTTTCTTTTCCTCCGGTGTTCTTTATTTCTTTCTTCGGCGGTGCTGCTCCTCGAAGCCGCTTCTTTCGCGGTCGACCAGTTTAGTTAAAACGCTTTCCACTAGCTAGAGGCACCGCACTTTGGTATTCGAGTGAAAGAACGGCGGCCTCTCCGGCTGTTGCTCGCTCGGCTCCTCGACAACTCACAAGCGAGGCCTCGGCGGCGGCAGAGAGGGAATGAGAATTCTTTTTTGTTGACTTCAGATTTATTTCACAAGAGAGCCAGCCAGGCAGCCCAGAGAGAAATAATACCGAGGCTTGCTCACTAAAAGCTCGCATGCGAAAATTATTTCGAAAATGGCAGAGACAAATTTTTGTAACTAGATTTTTAAAATCGTCAAGATTGTGTAGCGGGAAAAAGATCCGTTAATTAAGAATAAAACTAGTTAATTCAAATATTTTTACAAAATTACGTACAATTTTAGTATTTGAATAATTTTAAAAACACTTATTTAAGATTTACAAATATGTTGAGGAAAATGCAAAGGATTTATTGAAATAATTTTTATGAAATAAATTTAAACATTTATTTTTTAGATTATTTATTCATAACAAGCTAAGAAGGAAATAATTCAAGCAATTCATTTGCAATTTCCCACTTATCGTTATAATAAATAAAAATATCAATCAATTAAACCAAATTTTGTATTTTAATTTTATTTTTAGTATTTTTAAACTTTCATCCAGAAATCGTCAAAATTAAAAAAAAACTTCAAAAATCTGAAAAATTAAAACAATGGAAATTGAAAATGTAGGGTTATTGATATTTTTTTATTGAATCGACAACACATCTTGTTCATCCCTACATTTAATTCAACCCCTTTTGAACAAAATTTTCTAATTCCACCCTTGTTTCAGGTACCCATGACGGGGCTGCAGGCAAAACGCAAGCGCGACGACGCTGAGGAGACGAGCGCGGACCTGCCGGCGCTCAAGTGCGGCCGCGGGCCCGCGTGGCCGTCGTCGCCACGGCCGCGGCCGTGGCCGCCGGAGGACAACTCGCCGCCGGACAGCGACGAGGACGAGGACGACGACGAGCTGGAGGAGCTGAGCAGCAAGTTGTACTGCTACCCCGAGGGCGCGTCGCCGCCCTCGCCCGCCAGCTTCTACCGCTCGGCGCCCGCCAGTGAACCCTACTGCCCCCCAGGGCCCCCCAGGGGCTTCTCACGGACGTACTGGCCGCCGCAGTACTGCTACCAACCGGCGGCCGCGCCCACCCCCACCCCCATGCAGACAATTCGGTGCGCCGAGAACGGCAAGTCCTACCTCGAGCTGGGCTCGGCGGCCTCGACGGTGGTCAAGTCGCGTGCTGCCACCTACCGCCAGCAGCGCCACACCGTGCTCAACATCTCCATGTGCAAACTGTCCCGCTTCCGGCAGTTCCCGGACCCCAGTCTGCACCGCTCGGTGCTCATCTGCAACACCCTGCGCCGCATCGAGCGCGAGATGGAGAAGGACAGCCAGCAGGAGGCCGCGGCGGCGGCGCCACCGGCGGCCGCGGCGCCGTACCAGCCACCCGTCGTCTACCCGGCCACCCCCCCGCCCCCGTCCGAGCCCTTCTTCGAGCTGCGAGATCTCGCGTCGCCGGCGCCCCGCGCCACGCCCTTCCCCAGTCCGCACCACCCCGGCTCCGCGGACGACTCCTCCTCTGTGTCCAGCTCCATCAACTGGAGCTCGGTGCTCAGTCTGTCCAGCCAGTCCGACCTGGACCCGCTGAACAACAACGGCGGCGGCGGCGCCGCCGCCGGCGACGACCTCGACTCCTCCTCGCACTCCTCCGAGTGGAGACTTTGCAGTGATCAAGACTCTGTGCTCAAGTCCCTTGAACGGACTACCCTGGTGCACCACGCCGGCGTCAACGGCGAGGAGCTCGTGGACAGTTTGATGCAGGTGCTCGTCGGCACGTAGCCCCGTCAAAATATACAAACTCTGAAACTTTATATTCCGGCCGGACAACGCCGCTTTTGGCCTTTCCTTCCTACTCGATTGAAATTAGTTTTTAAAACTTGACGCGTCATTCAGATATGATCAGAGCAGCTTGTTTTGTACAAATTGGAATCAATTTTGAATTTAATTAACCAAGCGGCATTTTTGTGGCCAAAACTGGGGCGCGTGTCCGGCCTCCTCTCTGTTCTCAACAAAAACGTCTTCGCGCTCTTCACTATATTTCTCCTTCGCATAAAATATTATTATAAATATATAATTATTTATTTGTGATATAACTCTCTGAGATAAGGTTCTGCTTTTGTACTCGACGACGAAAACGGTTGTTTGAAATTTATTTGATTGATCAGAATTTTTCCAAGAGGTTGTGACACTAGAGAAAAATTATCCAAACCCACTGAATTATTATATATAAATTGAACGCCATCCTTATAATTGACGCTCTCTATCTCTGGCAGGTCTGATTAGGAAGAAATAAATAATTATTTTGCTGCATTGTACCAAACTTTTGGTCGCCGAAATTTTTGCTTCAATTTTTGAGATTCGGTTATGCTCAAAGTGTGCTCAAATGACAACGACAAGAAAGATCAACAACAAGTATTACAATTTTTTTACAAAGATCGAAACAAACCGAGGTTGCTATTTTTCTATTTGATTTAAGAAGTAATAAGTTTTATTTCTGCCAACTTAGGTGAGTGCGGAGTTGGCCCCGGCCGGGATGCCGAATTTCCAGGACGGTCAATTGGATCCAGGGAATTTTCCACCCCATGCCAACTCCGCAGCCCCACCGGGCTCTCTAAAGTGTTGAAATCAATTCCGTCTCATGAGATGACTTAAACTATGCAGCTGAGATTTAGTTTAGAGCCGCTTCAACTACTAGATGTACTACTTTCCTTCTTTCTTTACAAATCTGTGGTTCCAAATTAGTTAATCAAGCTCAAATAATGTGAACAAAAGCAATATTGTCTTCATTGGATTTGCTGAGTAAATAAAATTGGAATTGGAAAAAAATTAAACTTAAAAACACGGAGAACTACAGACTTGTGCTGTGATAATCATGTTTAATGTATAATAAATAGTAATGCTGCTTTCACGATTAGGTGGATAATTTTAATGATTGTTTCCGCATCATGATCTATGTGAAATTTTCGCTCCGGCCGCCCTTTGGAGGAGGCGGCCGGGGGTTGAGGCCGAAAAGAGTGCAATAAACCCACTGGAGTAAAAGAAAAGTCAATAGTCAGGGATTATATTTACTGAAACCGTTTTATCTAAAAAAAAACCAAGTACAATCAAACACTAAAAGTTAACGAAAGAAAAAACGGACACTTTTGTATAAATTCTATGCAAAATGGGCCAATTTTTACAACTGGTATGAAAATTTTTGGAATTGTACTTGCTCGTCATGATGTGGGAAGCGAAGAATTTTTGTGACCTCACCAGCAGTTAAAAATCAATAGCAATCGTGTAGAGTTTATATGAATTAAAACGGACCTGCTACTCACTCTTGTAGAAAGGATGGCTGACAAAAGTAAGGATGGCTATGCAAAGAGTTTGCGAGACGAAAATGTACAAATCGATTGTCTATAAATAAATAAAATAATTATAACGATTATTTTTTCAAAGCCAAAGATATTTTATTGGTTAGGGACTGCTGTGGCTAAATAATCGCGCGACGAATTTTGTTTCGGAGGAAAAATGCTCGTTTGCTTTCCGCGAGCACAAGACGAACGTGTCCGACTTTATTTTTTTGCAAACGAAATGCGGTTCATCCCTAGTTAAATGTATTTATTGGAATGAACGTGCTTGTGCCGAGAGTGGGTGAGTAAATCGACCGCGTGAAAGACATGTTAATAAGACATTGTAAAGAGAGGAAAAATATGGAAATGATGCAACTGCTAATAAGCAATAAAAGTTTACAAAATTTAAAAACCATTTGTATTTTACTTCACAAATTTGTTCCTTCTCCTGTTTGAAAGATTTTTTAGCCACTTTGCAGCAACTACACTTGAATAGACGAATTAAAATGATTTTTTTTTTCAAAATGAAATAAATTTATTTAATAAGAAAATAATCAGGAAATGGATATAATAATATTAACTGCTTCTAAATTTTATTTTTAAATTTGCTGTATGGATATTATTAAAAAAAAAAATACATTCTTCCATTGAACTAGCAAAAAATGATGCTATTTATCCTGTTTGGAACACAGCGTTATTTGAATGTTCTCTTTTAGATTTTTGTGACCATTTCGACTGCTGGATTTTCACAAGTTTTCGGTGCTGCTTGCGAGTTTTGAAAATATTTCAGCATTTTCGGGGCGAAGAAGAAAACAGAATACAAAATAGGCTCGCCCAACATGTAAATGTACACAGAGAATTGGAGAAAAAAGGGGTTGGAAACGTCGAGAAGGGTGAAGCTTACTTGGTAGACATCATTTAACAGGTCCAGTGTGATTGCAAGTCTCAGGAACGCCAATTGCAAGCTTTTACATAAATCAACAATTAATATCATCTTGTTCAAGTGAAATTTATATGTTTTGCCTCATTTTTCGATTAAGTGCTGCGGCTGCCATTCTGGTTGATTCGATTGTGGAACGAATTTTGCTCGCCGCTTTGAAATTCAAGATGAATATTAATGAGTAGAAAGCGCAGCGTGGACCATTGAAATTTACTAGAACAAAAATGGTTAAATACTTTTGTAAAGTTAAAAAAAATATATAATTAATTACGCAGTTTTCCAATCTTGCGGGATTGATTGTAATAAGTAATCAGACCACTGTATACACAAATATAGAAGGTCCCACAGATAAAGATCATTGCCGTCCAAACAATAATGTGATACGTTTTAATCATTCTCACTTTCATCTCATCAGTGATTCTTCCTTTAGCACTTCAATTGAAAGGATTTTGTGAAAAAGAGAAATAGTTAATTTAATTTATATCTTACTTAAAAGCGATATAGCAATCATAGCTATAGAGCGTTATCCAAATAACAGATGCAATGGATGTGAAAAAAGGCAGATTCCCAAATGTAATTTCTACAAAAAATTAACATTATGAATAATTTAAAAAAATAAAATAAATTACGTGATAGCAGATATTGTTGCTCCTTCTGTTGCGGTAAAGACGCCGATATAGTGTATGACAAGTTGGTGATCAGGTTGGTTAATGCGTGGAAAACAAGACAGTGGTTGCCCGGTAATTTCAGCGGGGACTTGTACAAAGTGGCCAAAAGCAAAAGTGAGAATAGGGATGAGCCGATGTAAGACACAAAAAATAAATTGGAGGAAAGTTTTATCTGGTTCAACCTGTCGGCCACTTTGCCGATAATAATTTCCTGAGCTTTTGTGTAGTAAGCAATTTCTCCAAACGTAAATAGCTTTCGGCAGAAAGAGGGAAAAGTTTCACAATTTTCAAATAGTTCAGGCAAGTAAAAGAAAAACCCGTCATCCAACGGCAGAGAATCGCTGTACTGAATTGATGACCCTCTGTTAGGACGTGAAAAGAAATCAAAGGCAGAGTCTGTGTAGCAAAAATCTTCCTGACAATCTCCGCACGTCATTTTGGATTCACCAATAGTTTCATTCACAATCAGATTTGCTCTCACAACTAGTGAGAAAAATTGCTCGCCCTCTTTTGGGTAGTATAGTGTTGCAAATTTTGGCACCCAGTCTGAATCTGGCGCCCCAAAGGTTAGATCTGCTTAATTTAAAAATACTTTTAGTCAAAATTATTGATCATAAATTATTTGGCACTTTTTATTTTATTCTGACCCACTCTTGGCACGAGGTCAACCGATTTTGATAATAATTGGCAGGTTGGTTGCTTTCAGGGTGTAGACAAACAGTTTAGAACCATTTTTGAAAATTCTCAAAATTGCCTATTTTACAGGGGCTCAAAGTTTGGCAATTTTTTAAAAGGTGATTTTGAAAATCGAGAATATCTCAGCTCCTGTTCATGATAGTGCATATGTTCCTATTACCAAAATTGTTGGAATTTAGACGCCCTACAACTTTGCAATAGTGACCAAGGTCGTAGGTCAAAGTTCAAGGTCACCTTTTGGAACCTGAGTTTTTTATTTACCTGCCAAAGTACCTGGTACGTGATATTTTTCAATTTGAAAATAGCCAAAAGTTGCCTTATTTAGTTGCTAACAACATATTTAAAAATGGCGAGACAAGTTTTTTTCGTTTTCGAGATATTTATAGTCATAGACAAAAAAAACGTGGTTTTTTGAGCTTTTCTTTTGGGAAATTAACTTCCATCTACGATAATTTTTTTTCTGTTAGAGTTAGGACAAAACACCCAATGACAAAAAATGATTCCCATGCTTTTATCTTGCGAACCATGCATCACACGAGGTGCCCAGGTCAAAAAAGGTCATTGACCGCGGTGACCTGTGACCTTGAAATTATTTTGTCAGGATGTGTGGCACATAGATCGAAAGCGGACATCAGCAGAAACTTTTTGGTGCCTGGTATTTGGTTGTAGCTTCAACGAAAGCTGAGTTATCAATGGTTTTCCTTATCAAATCATTCCATTTTCTACAAAATTTATTAAAAAAGTAATTTTAAAAAAATTGCCAAACTTTGAGCCCCTGTAAAATAGGCATTTTTGAGAATTTTCAAAAATCGTTCTAAACTATTTGTCTACACCCTGAAAGCAACCAACCTGCCAATTATTATCAAAATCGGTTGACCTCGTGCCAAGAGTGGGTCAGAATAAAATAAAAAGTGCCATTTAAAAACTCACACGAGCAAGATGCAGACAAAAAGATCTGGAGGTCTTCATTAGTTGTGAACTTTTTGCGCAAAATCAGGAAATTGTGATTTGTGCGGTTCTGATTTTCAGTCTCATTATGCGCACATGCGTTCACTGAAGTCATCTTCGGTTTAAGACTCTAAAATTTACAAATGCATGAATAGAAATTATAAGCACAAATATAAAAAAAAAAAACGAAAAACAAATAAACGTTGATTAAACATACCAATTTTCGTGACATTTCATCCTCTCTAATTTCCTTGTAAATTTTATTGCTTCGAATGTCACTTTTCGTGTACAGAACTACAAGGAAATGAAGAGTAAAATTAATAATAATTATTAAAATCAATACCCTGATTGCATCAATTAAAGAAAATCATAGACATACTTGCACTCAGTGGAACCAATGGTATTTTAAACACATCGGTGATGATTGTAATTGAGACCATCATCAGCACCCACACAGAGAGCACAACTTTTTCCTGCACCAGCATTGTACAGAGTGACGCGATTTCTTCTGCAAATCCATCGAGCATCCTGCGTCCCAGCGATAAACTTTTATCTGCATTTGGCAGCAATTTGTAAAGATTAATTCTGTTTGCCTCGAGCTCGGATAAATCTTTTCAATTTTGAAAAATTGAAGTGGTGATTTATAGACTTCAAGTTTTTATTGGTGCTTATTCTACTATTTGATGGATTTTTTCTCTTATTTATTTGCATAAACAATAATTCTACTGGCGTGAAACATTTTTATTCCTGCCCACAAATAAACAGGCACGCACAAAAATTTTATATGATTCTATTAATGACAATGATAAAATTAAATCGAAAAATATCTGCTATACATTTTGTAAGTGATGTGACAATACTCAGTCAGTTTTAGGGAAGTATTATATATACAGGAGAAGAAAATTAAAAAATGATATAGATTAATATAAAGCACTTTATTCATTGATACTAATAGATGATATAAACTCCACTGCAAAATAATCTTTCTTTACAATCGGCGCATCTAGATTTCGCCCTGCGCTGCTATTCCTTGCGCCTTTTGAAAATTATTCAGAATATTTGGCGCCAAATAGAAAATTGAATATAAAATCGGCTCTCCAAGAATGTGCATGACAATAATGAAGTGAACTGCAAAAGGCGTGTGAAGGCTTAAAAGATGCGCCACATCATTGATGAAGTCAAGCGTGATTGCCAGTCTCAGGTACACCAGTTGCAAACTATGAGTTTATACCCATTTTAAATTTGTTAAAATTTAATCTTTTAATTTGCCTCTTTTTCCGATTAAAGATTTTGGTTGATTTGATGATTGTGGAACGAATTGTGCTCGCCGCCTTGAAGCTCAATTTGAAAAATAGGAAGTAGAAGGCAGAACGCGGCCCGCTGAAATTAACTGCAAATCGAAATAATATTCCAGAAAATATGTTAAATATTGAATTAAATTACGCAGTTTTGCGTACTCGATATGGCAGTGATTACAACAAATTTACAAACGCCTCCAGACAAAAGAATAAAACTACCATAGCACTAATTTAAGCATCGTTTTTAGTAAAAATTAATAATTCCAAATATTTAACATAATTATTATTGTATTATTTTCTTCTGTTGCACAGCAATTTCCCCCTTGTGGATAAAATCTTGTTTGGCAATACAATTTTTTGTGGTTTACAATTCTATTGTGAAAAAATTGATATTTCAGACCATCTTGGCGCGGACCTCTCTTAGTTTAGCAAAATTTATATTCCAGAGGCATCGTATTCTTATTTTTTTTTTTTTTAATCTCTCTCACTATTATTTGGGAGATGATTTTAAGTATAACATTTATAGTTCAATGACTGTTGGGGCACTTAAATCAATTTATCAAATGCATTTAATATTACGTTGCATTAAATTAGGTAAAAAAAAAACACATTTAATAAGTTTCAGTATACTTGAAAACTAAAGCGATTTATTTCGTAATATTTATTACAAAATAATTTTTCCATACATTCTAGCCATGTAGCAAACTATTTTATGTATGCATTTATTGATAGAAAACTGTTGAAATATTTGTAAATTATTGTTAAAATAAAAATTGTTCGAAGTAAAAATAATATCTACTTTAACTACAGTGATGAATTTAATATTTATGCTCCTTCCTATATCCAAGGAAATGTTACATTTTAGCCATTTCAATTGGTGCTTGTGTTGTTGCATTTGGCGTCCTTTGAAAACACTTTTGAATTTTCGGAGCAATAAAGAAAATGGTGTACAGAAATGGTTCGCCAAAAGCAAAAGCAATAAAAAAGTAGTACATATTAAAAGTATGCGATGCAATGCTCGGGATGATGTAAATTAGCACGATGTAAACATCATTCAAAACGTCAGTGACAATAAAAAGTCTCAAGAACACCAGCTGCAAACTAGATTAAGTATTTTATATCTCAATATAATATTAAAATGATAACTTCGAATCTTACCTCAATTTTCGATTCATTGGTGCTGCAGCCATTTTCGTGTCATTGATTGTGGAGCGGATTTTTCTGTACGTCTTGAAGCTGAAGAATAAATAAACCAGGAAAAATGCAAGGCGTGGAAGATGGGAATTCACTGCGAATCAATACAATATTTTAATAAATAAAGTGGTTAAAAAAAAATAGCAAAAGTGTTACGCAATTTTCCGTAATCCCGTGATTTGTTTGAAAAAACAATCAGATTCGTGTCGACGGAAAAGTAAAAAGTTCCTGAAATAAGGAGGCTGGCCAACCAGGCAATAATGTGGTAAGTTTTAATCATTTTTACTTTCATTTCTTCATCAATCCTTCCTTTGGCGCTGTTTAATAAAAAACATTAAAATATTGAAGAATAATAAGAGCTGTTTGACAGAAGCATGAAATGAAGAGGAAAATTTTTATACTTAAATGTCAAGTAGCAGTCGTAACTATAAAGAGTGATCCAGATTATGGCAGCCATGGAAAAAAAGAAGGGCAGGCGAACTAGTGCGATATCTTTAAAAAAATTTGCCAATTATAAAATCCAAAAATTTAATTTTTATTTTGAAACTTTACCCAAGATCCTGTTTTCTGCGAGCTTTGACCACGGGATAAAGAAAGTTATTGCTGTTCCCAATTTCAAAATCAGGTTGGAAAGCGCGTGAAAAATGAGACACTGATTGCCTGGTACTTTAAATGGGGCGCGGTACAGATTGCTCAGGAGCAAAAGCGAGAACAGGGACGAACCAACAATTGGCAAATAGAACATGTTGTACATAAGAATGTAGCGATCCATAAATTCAATATAATCGTCGTAGAATTTGTCCTGGCCTTGATAATAATAAGACATTTCCTCAAATTTGTGCAGCTTTTTGCAAAAGGAGAACAACGTTGGCGAAGAGTCAAAAACATTTGGAAGATACGCGAGAAACGGGTGCTTTCCAAGTTGCGACCGACAAGACTCCCGTATTGCTTCCCGGGGGGTTGTAATTACGGATTCGCGGTACTCATCGGTCATCAAGCAATAGTCTTCCGTACAATTTCCACACATTTCAGAACTGATTTGCGTAGACTGGGTTACATCAGCCAGGAGAAGAAAATATTGTTGGCCCTCTATTGAGTAGCACTGATTGTGAATCATTCTTTGTACCACGCTGGAGTTTGTTGCTTCCATAGTCAGATCTTTAAAAAAATTCATTAATATTGTTTATATATCCCCAGTGAAAACTTGGAGCTTTAATCTTAAAATGAATTTTTTTTCAATTTTTCACTTACAAGAACAAGCTGCAGATAAAAAAATCTGAAGATCTTCAGCTCCTTGATAGTTTTTCCGCAACATCAGGTAGGTTTGGTTGATGCCGATTTGATCATTTGGTGTCTTCGATGCACATTTTCCCATAAATTCCCTCATTTCTGGCTCAAGAAGCTGCAAAATATTTGCAGGAAGATAATTTTTTTTGCTTTATCTCAAGTGACAGAGGGAATAATTTTTATAATTTTATAATTATATACATTTTTAGTTAAGTGTGAATCAAATTACAACACTAAATGAGGTAGATAATATAATGTAAAATTGATTCATTATAGAACATTATAGAAAATTGTTTCCAAAATCATTTCCTTTGAATTTTAATATATTTAATAAGTGAATACTTCATTTTAAACAATTTATTTGCAAATACCGATATTTTTGTGTGGAATTTGTCTCGCACATTCAGGTATTGTGGCACATTTGTAAAGTCCTTGTGGTAACTTATCATGTCCATAGTAATGGAGCTTTCTGGAGATTTAAAAATAAATTATCTTTTATTAATTAAAATAACACAAAGAAAACATACCATCAAAGGCGATCTTTCTGAATAAGGGTTTTTTAAAGACGTAAGTGAGCAACATAATTGCAACCACCAGAGCTGTCCATGCTAATAGCACCACTTTTTCTTGCACCAACATTATGCTCGATTAATAGGCCTGCTGCGAAATCCCGCGTCCGCTCAAGACAAATGATACAGTTTATCTGCATTTTGCAGCTTTTGTGATGAAGCCAAAAAACGCCCACATTTAAACGGTAGCATAAAGCGATTAAGAAGAGCTGGGTTTTCCTGGTTTTCACAATTATTTATTTAAAATAAAGTCGATTAAATTTTCATCGAATGAAAAGCGCTTTCGTTTTGGGCCCATTGGAATGAAGTATTCAGAGAAAGAATTAAAAAAAGTGAATATTTAGAGAAAATAAACATTAAATTAATTTTATCATGTTTAATTTCAAATTATAAATTTGTAATAAAAATTAAACTTTCACGTTTTTGTGGGTGACTTAAAAAAATTAGGGAGGATATTTTGCTTTCCTATATAAAAATATTTTTAAAATGTATATTAAATTTATTTATAAAATCTTATGCTGAAAACTTAATTCAATTTAAACGCTAGTCCTGCGCTAGTCAAACACAAAGATAGAAAGCAATAATAATCAATTTGAAGATATTTTAAATAATATCATATGTTAATGTTATTTATTAACATTCTCACTGGCTCATCTCGTTCACTGAGAGACTCATATCAGATATTAATAATTTCAAAATAAAAATAAAACCAAATAATTATTGCCTTTTCTTTAGCACAGATAAATTAATAAATAAATACTTATCTTTCCCATTTCGTCCCTTCCTTTTTTAACGAGCAAAGCTCTTGTTAGGGTATAATTGTCCGCTTGACCTGCGGTGGCGAGGCAGAGCAAATTAATGCAAAAAAGGCGCGACCACATCAATAGCTGCAGCGCGGCCAAAGAGGAGCTCCGTGTGCGAGATCTCTTTTATTTTTTCTCTCGCCGGTTGGTCAGCAACGTTTACACACACAAAGGACACCTGCATGTGTGCCCATTGATCGGTGTAACGAGTGCCGCCTCGGGCCGCGCGCAAATTAAAGGCGGCAATAAAATTATAATGTTCACATTGATTTTCTTTCCCTGTTTCATAGGAACAGAGGCCGCCTTCGCCGCCGCGATTATTTTGTGTAACACGAGAGAGAGAGAAAAGATGACTCATACTACAGCCAGCATCCGTCCAGAGATATTAGTTTATTGCATAAAATAATATTTATTATAACTCGCAATAAATGGACCTGCGGCCACTACGAAATCCACACGTGCGTTTGTGAGAACCGAGTGTGTAATTTCTTTATTATTCACATCAACATAAATCCAACGATTTCGGACGTTTGAAAACCGCAAGAGCAATTTCATAAAAACGCACTTTATATGCATTAAAAAGTCAAACAATTCATCAAGTGGTCGTGAGCTTTCCAGTCCATACATCACCTGATCTTTGCAGATTTGGGTTTCCCGAAGGAAAGGTTTTAAATATTAGTTTGCAAAATAGATTCGGGGCGTCGTCCATTGCATTGTCATAACAAAAGAAAAGTCGGATTGCGTCTCTACGTGTGCTTATCATACTAAGATTTTTAACTGGAAAGTTGATGAAGATAAAAACCGGATTTACATTTTTCAAAAGTATTTAGGTTGCTTGATATATTAATGATTGATGACTTTTAATTTTATTCAAAATTGTCTCTGTTTTATAATTTTTTTTTTTTCAAAAATAATGATTTCAGTTAATCATATGAAAAGAACGCAAAATTATCAATGATATTTGTTGGAGATAAAATTTAGAACATTTTGAAAGGGTTGAGTCACCCGCCCTTGAATCTAGGATCAAGTTTGAGCTTGATGCAATATACGACCGTTTTTATAATTTAATTTTGTGTGGTAATTTTAATTTTAATTGCACCAAAATTTTTGAATTTCAACCAAAATTAAAAACTATTTTAATACAAAGTTTTGATCCATATGGGCCATATGGGATGATATTTGATAAAATTTCAATCTCAAAACAGGCTTTGAATTTGTTTCCATCGAACTTGTGTTCGAACGAAATTGTATAAAATTTCTTTTAAATCATAATGCTTCAAGTTCAAAAAAGTAATTTTTTTAAGTAATAAAAATATCTCATTTTATTATTATTATTATTATTATTATTTGTCATTATCTTAGCGCCCTAAGTTTAAACCCAAATTATAAACAAATTTCTTGAAACTAAAAAGGGTAAAAAATTCAAGGAGAAGCTTGTGCAATGGTTAGATCAGTGCATTGTTAAATTTGAATTTTGCTGATTGTTGAACTCGGAGGTCAATACTGGTCTTTTACATGATTTAAGGGGCAAACAAGCCTGTCAAGCCTTGTCAATATTGCCATTAATTTGAAGCTTTAAAACGGTTATTCTTTAACAATAAATGATTTTTCGAAATAAAAAAGTAAATGGAATTTTTTGTTGAAATAGAATTCAATTTTCCGGCATTTCCACAGTTGCTTCCGGCCGGTGTTTTGGTCTATAGCTCTGTCAGGAATGACGTACTTATTGGTGGTGAAAAGCCCGGTGCACACACCATGTTTACCGTTGGGCTGATGGGTGGGTATGTGTATTGGCAAGGGGGGTATCCTGTTTCTGCAGAATCGACCGATAAGACTCGTAAGACGGTGCATTTGAGACGTCAGCGATGGTTAATTGCGTCACCGAATAAATCAACACACAGAGCATAAATCACGACGATTTTTGGTCTCCCGACTCGAATGCTAACACAGAAGGGAACTTTTGACAAAGCGGGGAAATTCCTGTCGCATGGTTTTAACATTGTTCCCGCGACCTAGACCGTTACAAGTGAAATTGATTCCCGCGCCGAGCTGAAAAAAAAACAGTGCGCGTGCAGATCGGCATGAATGAGAGCAGTGGAAAGTGAGCCAAGCTTTTTGCAAAGTCATCCGGCAAAACACATCACACCATAAATAAAATGAAAATATAATTTCATTTTGCCACTCAAAAAAGGCCCGATTAATTTTGATGGTAATATTTCCCTACATAAGCATAGGTTTTGAAATTTTATGGGAATTTTCTGTGATAATCTTTTCTCAAAATCGGTCAAAAAAAACAACACAAAATTTACATTGAGATCTTTTGGTTGGGCAGTTTTTTAATTTCAGAGTGGATAATTATCATAAGTTCATCACCTTTACTAAAGTTTCTCTTCAGCGGCGCAATATAAAAATTATCAGAATTTACTGGAACACTTTTCTATTAACTTAAAAATGATAAATTTATATTATAAACTTTGAATTAGTTCAAATTTTCCATCCAATTGGATGTAAAAAATTGTTAATTTTTTCATTAATTATTTTAATTTTTTAATCCTGTAAGTTTCATTATAATGAAAGAATATTAATAAAATATAATTTAAATTATGATAATTCAGTGTAATTAATTTATATTAAGTAAAAAGAAAGAAGGTAATTTGTTTGAAAATTTAATATAATTCAACTAACAAGACATGCGAAAATTGAATTTGAAATTGGAGGAAGGTAATTATTGTACTATGATTTCTCGCGAATCGCATAGGAAACAAAAAAGACATAAATAAACTTCTCCCTCACTTATGTGCGTCTGTTGTTACGCATTTGTATTAAAAATAAACTAAAAATAAACTTCTCATCTGATCAAATCGGTCGAATTTTTATTACATTGTCCTCTGGTGACATCTTTGATCGCGAAATCTGCGTCAATGAGCGTGCGATTTGAATTTTTCATGAGGCGCGACGTGCATCATGCGTGCGGCCTTCGGAGGTTCCAAACGTGTCCCCTCGAGACAAACCGTGTGAATTCTCAAATTATATCGCAAGATTTAAACTGCCCGAAACAACAATCTCGGCAAATTATCAACTCTGCGGTCGTAAAATTTATATCTATACACAAAAAAAGGAAGAAACAGGATTCGGAGCCGCCGCAGTGCAAACACCTGACTGACATAAAACTGAGCTACTTAATAATTCGATTAGGGAATAAAAAAAGATCCAAAATTGCTGGCGTGATTCATCTCTGGTTTGTTTTTGTGTCCGCGGACGCAAAATATATACAAAAGTGAGTCATTTTTATATCGTCTTAAAAGGAGCAAACGCGACCTGCAGTTTGGACTCAAAAGGAATTAATAAAGAAACGGTTTTTTTTATCTCTGGCGCCGCCGCCGCGGTTTGTATAAAAGTCCAAGTGTGAAAATCTCGATGGTCCTGGACAAAAATGGTGCTTCTGCTTTTCCCAAGTGGCGCCTACTTTTTTTATACAAATCAAGTTTGCTGCTCAGCACAGGCGGTGACTTGTGACGCAAATCTTGGCGACAATGATGTGATTCAACCGTCTAGGATTTCAGTTTTTTGCTCATTTGCATGTGCACAACTTAAATTTTTTGTCTCTTCCACTTCCTCGAATGAAAATATTTACGTTTTCAACAGAGTCCGGATTTTTTTTTCATCAGATCCTTTATTAGTTCAATCCTTCTTTCATTTGTATGCTTTATAAGGCAATGGATTTTCTTATCCGAACAAAAACTCGCTTTGAACGTCATTTCCTCAAGTTTGCACCAACACGTGGGAATAAATGTTTTATCCTAACACCTCGCTGTCTATGCCAATCGGACGCAGCGTGCCCGCTGATAAGGGATATGACGTAGATTTGAATGTTTTTTTCTTTCTTATACAATCGGGAGGATTTTATTTCAACGTGCTCGTCCCTTATCGCATAACTTTCGCTAAATTGCGCTAAATCAAACAAAAATAGTCAAACTGGCTTGGTTAATTTAAAAAAAAAATGTAAAAATTAAAATAAATATTGTTTGCTTCTTAATTAAAGACAACAATTTTTGAAAATAATAATAATAAAAGTTATGTTAATTTAGAAAAATATTAAACTATATTTTATAAAATTCATTTTATTTTTTATAACAAATGAAAATATAATAAAAATTTATTTATTATTAATAATAAATATTTGTACAACGTTTATTTTTGTTTGTTTAAATAGTAAAAATGAAATAAACTAACTCAATTTTAATAAAACTTGGTTTTTAAAACATTTTCGTCCTGATGAAAACGTTGACAATGCAACACAATAAGAGGGAGTATGCAACAATTATTTCTGTGACTAATCACGCGGTTTTGCGCATCCTAATTTTAAGGAATAAAATTGCACGTGAGTCGATTTCATTGTTCCGAAGAGCAGGAAAATAAAGCGTGAGTGTTGTGAATGAAATTCGCGGGCGGGACCCGCGTCTAGTCTGGAGATCGTCGCCGCGATTTTGCTCCGCGTCTCTCGGTCGCGGGATGAATGGGAGAGATGATGACTGGGGATTTTTCACATTAGAAAATTCCGTCTGCATTTGCGCATGCATACGTGAGCGTAATAATCCTGTGTTTGGTTAATGCCTCATAAGAAGAGTGAAAAGAAGGTCCTGTGCAAAGAGACAAGCGCGGCTAATTCGCTTTAAATAAATACGCACGCTCGACTTAAGTAATTATTTCCGAGAAAAAAAGCATTTGTCATATCTTTGCCGAGCCCGAAATTCGGAACTTTCCATCAGAGTGGAAACGGCGAATAAGAAACAAATTTTGCGATTTGAATGGGAATTTTTAAACAGTTTTCCTCCAAAACTGTAGGAGGAAGAGTCAAAATTCTGGCGGCGCCACCGATCAATGATTCTGAGTACGGAGCTCAATTATTCCTATAAATTCAGGAAAGATAATATTTTCCTGTCAAGTACCTTCCTGTACTGCGACTTCATTTCCCTGCAAAGACTTGGTGCGAGTAAAATCATAAATTTATCAAGCAGTAATTTTTTTTTACTTCTTAATAAGTCCATTGTTTCGTTTAAAATTTCTTTCGATATTTTTAATTACTTAATAAATTTGACCAATATATAATAAAAATGAAAATATAGTGTTTGGGATTTAAATTATACCATTTATTTGACCACCATGCAAACGAGTTTTGCTATAATTAAAATAAAAAAAAGTCATATTTAAAAATTTTGATTATTACACATATTAATTTTCAATTTTTATACAATTTATTCACATTTCAAAATTAAAATTCAATGTTGAATTAAGTGTAATTATTATAATTAAACCGCTTTTAAATTTTTGTGAATGTCGCACGGAATAAATAAAAATATTTCAAAAAATTATTGCATAACCAATATAAATTTGGGTGTAATGCATAATTATACTAACTTTTTATGTGTATTATAACTAATTTTTTCATAGGCAGAAAGTTTTTGAGCTTCAAGATATCCATAAAAATGTGGAATATTCAATAAATTTAGACAAAATATTGGTGCAACTTATTGAAAATGTTACTTTTTTTTAAAAACATTTTATATAGTGATAAAATATATAAAACATTCCTTTTGAAACTAAAAATCATTGAATTTACTCTTTAGCTATATATTCAAAACCCACAGCGAGTGATTAGTCCAAAGACTGATTATACTAGATTTAAGAAAAAAAAAACTTTTACGGCTTTTCACTTCTGGATTAAAACAAAATATTCTTAGGATTGAATCATTCCTTAGATTTAATTCAAGACTTAAAATTAAACTAATCTTCTCTCAAATCTGTTTTTTATCAATACAAATTCAATGAAGCATTTTCTTTCAATTAGGCAGTTGCGCCTATTTTCATAATTATCTCAAAGTTGTAAGTTATATTTACATAGACTTTTAGAAGATTTCAAAAATAAAAAAATAAAAAAAGTACTGTGTTTTTATTGAAATATTTGAAAACTTCTAAAGTCATTAAATTGTCATTATTTAAAAAAAAGCATAATCGTTTTGTGGAGCAATGTTGAAAATTAAAAAAATTGTCAAGATGTTTAGTTGGATATCAATAAATATTCAATGAGATTACTCACTTCTTTAAAATTAGTCACTTGCGCCAATTATCATAATCTAAGCAAATTGTATTTACAAAGATCTTTAGACGATTCAAAATTATAGACTAATTTATTTCAAATTACTGCTTTTTAAATAAAAAAAATCACTGTTTCAAACACTTACAAGGAATAAGATTGAGGTGTAATTAATAAAATTATTGAAATAATATAAGTAATCAGGTATATATTTTAAATTAAAAAATTAATGTAAATTTGTATAAAAGCAGGGTTGAATTAGAGCAATTAGTGTAATTTGGTTTCTGTCGGCGCGGGGACCAGCGGCGGAGGAAATGCCGGTGGGGTGGGACTTCTTGTGTGGGGCCCAAGTGCGGTGGGCCAGGCCATCGTCGAAAGGCAGCTCGAAAGAGTCGAGGAGGCGCACACATCAGGTGCATCGCGGATGGACGCGGCGCGCGGCGTGACTCACCCGCGCTTATGCTATAATACTCTAGCGTGCCGGCTTTTTCGCCTCACTTGCACACCAGCAGCCGCGCAATTGCTCTCTCCGCGCCCGCCCGTCCTCGAAGTCCTCGACCCTTGCGATGACCACCGACGACGCGCCCACCATCCTCAGACTCGCACCCCCGTCCACCTGCACGTGCGCCTCCCCTCCCTGCTCCGGCCGGTCCGACCTGCACCCCCTTTCAACGACACTCTCGGCCAGGCCGCAGCCACTCCACGCCACAGGACACAGGTGCACTTCCAATCCGTCCAACATGTTCGCCTTCTGCTCACTTCTCATCCTCCTCTTCCAAGTAAGTACAAATTTTCATTGTTTTCCGAACCGAGCCCAAAATACCGCACTCTTTTAATGGTTTATGTGTTTTTTTTTAATCGATTGTGAATTTCCTGCACATTTTGGTCCGTGGTTTTCACTGAAAAGGAAGATTAAATTAAGTAAGTCTCAATTTTTATCAATTTTCAACCCTTTTCCCGAGCCATTTAAGAGAAAATTTTCACTGACTTGCGTGATTTTTTGAACGATCGTCTATTTCTGCACATTTTGATCTGTGGTTTTCATCATAAAGGGAGTTTTAATTGGAAATTTCAATATTTTAAGCAACTTCGTGAGCAAGTTGAACCGATTTACAATGCAGCGGACTCGGCCGAGGTCGGTGCGATGCAAGTCCGTGCTTGCATCGAAATGGGCAGCTACATACTTTCGCATAGAAAAAGATGATGCAATCTAATATTGTTGCTGCCCAGGAATTTACGAAATATGGAAGAACCACGTAATTCAAATTATTGTTCACTCATAAACCATTGCAAGGCAGCATATCTGAAAAATTTATAAAGAGGAAATAAACTTAAATTTTATAGCTCAAGCTAAATTTACAACTAATTTAGGAGAATGGTTTTAAACTAATCTTGAATTAAAATACCATAATTGAGGCATAAAATATTATTCAATAAAAATAACCTTTATCACTCATTTCCTATATTGGTATTTTCATCAATAAAATTTCACTAATAGAGAAAGATTGCTCTCCTTTCCTCCTTCCTTTCCGGTCATTTACACGTCATTTTTAATTTTTTTTTCGAGCACCAGAATAAAACAATGAATGAATTTGAATTTTTGAGAAAAACATCCTATTTTCTTTATAATTGCGTGGCTTTGGCGGTTTCAACTTGCGGCTTTCAAAACCAAATCTCAGCTTCGCAATAAATAATTTAATTTTTCCTTAAAAGGAGGATGAGTTAAAATGTCCATCTTCTTGTGCTTCTCATTGCATTGCCGTAAGTTGATAACAGATGCAATTTTGATAAACATGAACGTGCTTTCTGAAACGGAAGACAAAAGACCGAGATTCAGGAAGTCTCATAATCAGAGACATTAAACCACAACCCAATTTCTTTCTCCACCGCACGCGCCGCCGTATTTTCCACCGAGGGTTCTGCTGGTGTTTCCCTACTTTGAGTAAAAATAATTTTATAAAAAAAAATACATACTTGATTAATTAAAGGAAAATACAGCTTGGCTTATCAAAAGGAAGTTTTATGAAATTATAAAATCTCAATTTAGCCGTTTTTATTAAAAGCGCCAATTCTGGGAGCAAAATGAAGCCTCTAAATTTAGAAAACGCTATGAATTTTTTAAAAGTATTTGAAGGTCTGTAAAATTTAAATGAACTCTTGTAAAACTTTCCATGATAATTTTTAGTCTTGATTATAATTAAGATTATAATTTTGTAATGTAATTTAGTTTTTTATTCTTATATTAACAAATTCAATTAAATAGAGTCAATTAAGATTTTTTAATTTTAATTTATCTACTTCTAATATTTTTACAAAATATTTTAACTTTAAATGATATTTTCATTTATTTGGCACAATATTTTGTTAAAAAATTATTTATTTAAATTAAACAATAATTTGATTTTTTTATAAATAAAATCTCTTCACTTACTTAATGCTTAAATTAAATTATATTTTTTTGTATTATTTAGCGTTATTTAGAAAAAAATCATCACAATTTACTCATTGCATAACGGCAGATTAATGGAAACAACGCTAGATTTAGTCAGCACAGCACCTGTTTTTTTTTTACCGTACAATTATGGAGAGGAGTCACCGTGAATTTATTGCCACAGCGGCGGCAATCACGGTGAATTTCACTTTTGGTCTGGCGCGCTCGCCGATCTTGACATTTCTTTCTCATCTCGTCGCACATCCGAGTCTGCATCTCAAGCGGATGCTGATCGAGTGAAAGAATGCGCTCGGGCTTTGCGTCACAATTGCAATCGGTCAAGAGTCGGAAGAGGTGTGTCAGGTGATTTCGTGCCGCATGCACGGCGGCAATAGTAGTTGCAATGTTAAGGTCGCTCGCTGCGATTATTAGATCACCTGCGTCTCTGGCGCGTGGGAGGCAAAAGAAAACGATGAATGGGATCTTTTGCCTGTTCACACAGTGGAGAAGGAATGCAGACATTTAAAAAGGGGTTCCCCAAGACACATTAACAAGCCGATCACACCCATGAAGGAAATTGATCCTTTGACGTAAAAGGATTATAATAATATGGAATGATTCAATGATGAATTGCATTTAAATTGCACGACCTTTAAGTACAAAGTTATTTTCCTTGTAGAAAAGAAGTGTTAATTTTTGTCTCTGCTCATCTGATTTGAAGCTGAAAGCAGTGAATTTATTTGAGCCATTTGAGGGGATTAAAATTTAGATGCTAATTTATCCCAAAATTAAATTAAGTTCAAAGGAGACATAATTATTAAGAAAATTTTGAGTTATTTTGAGAATTTTCTAAAACAAAATAGGCTAATCAAAATAGAAATTTACTTTGATCTTATGAGAAGATTAGGAGATTAAATTACAATTACATTGTTGATATTATCATCCTTTTGTTAAATTGAAAAAAATTAAAATGTGTGAAAAAGAGCCAAAACTGTTTGTTAATTAATTTATTTTTATCAAATATTTTATTTTAGTTTTTTTTATTTAATTGTTTATTGATCTATTATGCAATATTTGCAACATATTTTAGTCCCTTGAAAAATTATAATTTTTCTCTTCTCTTGGTTCTTCCTTTCAAGAAGAAAATTTCCTCCGAACATGAAACGATTAAAGACTTTTTTATTTTACTTTTCCTGTCCCTATTGAAACGATTCGTTTATGCACGGTTTCAGTCCAAATCGGTCAACTTAATCATGCATTCTTCGAACTTGGCCAACAATTCACAGAACCTCGAAATCTACTTTGGCCGGTCACTTGAGTAAAAAAGCTCTATATAATCGCAAATCGGCGACCGGTGCGATTTTACGAGTGGGAATCGTTGACACTTGGCTGCTTTTGCGCGGTCATTAATATGCACGGAGAGGATCGAGAGCGAATTTAGCAGTTGTTGGAAAAAAGTGGAAACCCCGCAGCAAACAATGAGATGCGCTGGGCCTGGAAATTCCTTGCGCCTTTGTTTACGCCATTACGGGTCATTGCTTTTTGTTTGCACGAGAAATCGCCGCGTCCGGATTTTATTTCATTTTATTTCGGCCCCAAAACGGATATCGGCCTCATCCGCCGAAATAGACACAGATAAGGACCATTTTAATATTTTTTCATCACTTTCCTCTTTCTCTCTCAAGTTGTACGTTCATTCATGGCCATTCATCCTTTTTTGATGAATCAGCCGATCGAATCCGTCCACTGATGCAACTCCAGCTGATTTCTAGTCTTAACCGTTAGCTATGCAGCCTTGGACACTTTTCGCACGCTTAATTTCTCTCTTACTCACTCACCCTGCTTGAGGATCGCGAGCGGGGATTCCCCGCCTTCGTTTATTCGCGCAAAGCTTGCAAGTCCTGGATATTAACTAATTTTTGGCAAGGAATTTATTGTGATTGTTGCATAAACATTGCAACAATGTATGCAGACAGCGACGAACGCAGCTCTATTGGGAAATTTTGAGTCACTTTTAAGTCATCGTCCTTTTTGAACAAACGTGTCGTAGACCTTAAAAAAGCTCACTGGAAAATGTCACGGGCGAGGAAACAAAAAGTAGATGTTTATTTATTTATTTATTATTTATTCTTCTCGGTCTGTTGAATTTTTTAAATTGTTTGTTTCAAATTTAAATTTAATATTTATACTTATTCAATAATTATTTTCTAATTATATACCATTTAAATTTGACTATTTTAAATTGAAAATAGACATAAAAATTATTGAAATGAATGAATCGGGCTTTTCCCATGATCATCTCCTCGAGTGTCAACTTCTTCAAAATATAAAATTATTGTAATGTTTATGTTTTATTTTGAAAAATTACATTAAAAAATTGTTATTTCTGATTAATTCTCCTCAATTAAATTCCCGATGCATCATTAAGCCATAAAATTATGGCAGTTCTTTTTAATTGTAGAATAATTAGAGGAAAACTGACTGAAGAAATCCTATTCCCAGGACATAGACGATATAATTATGCGCCGACGCATCTGTGCAGGATGTTGTTTAGGATGCCACTCTTGACACTTGAATCGGATCCCTTTTGGTGCGGGTCATTTTGCCTTTTGCACGTCACTTTAGCACTGCCGTAATAATGATAAACAAGTTTCCAACCTTTATCTAATTCTCAATTAATTAATTTAATATAAATTGACGGTCGCGCTTTTTATTATTACCGGTTAATTCCTAGAAGGATCAATTTTGTATTATTTAAATTTGATATGAATATATAAACGTTGATATGCCTGAAGAAGAAAAGACCACACATGAGTCGCCTAAATTTACTTTGAAATCTCGCCGAGGAGAGAAAATTTCCTTGGATAATCGGCGCGGCGGCGGCAAATCAAAAGGGGTGCACATGCACGCAGATCATGCTCCAGCATCTGCAGATTCCGCGAAGTGGCACATTTGGCATTTCCTGGCCGGCCGGCAGACCGCAACATTCGCGTCTGATTGCCCCTTTTCATGCGCGTGTGTGTGTGTTCCGGACGCGCGCGGCGCTTTGTCTCGACCGCAGTTGCCAATGTAATAAAGTTAGCATAATTTTTGTCTCTCAAACTAGAGAGAAAGAAATGCGGGATTTACCTCTCTCTCGCCTCTAATTGCGCTCTTTTCCAAACCGCAAGCGAATATAATAAAGTGATTACTTGCGAAAAGAAGTTTTGTGTGCCTCCCGAAAGAGAGGCCTCTGCGCCGATCGCTTGAAAACATGACAATTTGCAGTTGTTGCTCTCTTCGCAGGCCTAATTGCAAAACTCTAGGAGGGTTTTGTTCATTTCAAGGACGAGGCACTCTGTTTTTTTGCACCTTATCTGAAGGTTTTTAATTTATAAAATTATTTCAAACCGTAATTATTTTTCTCGTTATTGTGCAAATTTGCTAAAAATTGACGGATTTTACTTCGATTGACCAAACTAATTTTTAATTTCAATATTTTCTCTTGCAGAGAGATGAAAATTTTCTTGAAGGTAATAAAAAAAAATTCAATTTTCTTTCATGTTAATTCATTTGGTTATTTTATAAATAATGATTATTAATGAATCACCGGACATTCACTACTGAATAAAAATTTAATCACTCTCCATTGAGAGAAAACATACCAAAACCAAAAAAAATCAAGATTGTTTTTTGTTTCTACTATATTTTTCATTAAGTAATTTTTAAACAATTTGTTTTAATTTCCAATAATAATTGTTCTTGGAGAGTCTTTCTAGTGTTTGCATTTAGCTTTTGAGAGCGCGGTTTGTTTTGTTCCTTTGAAAAGAGGCCCCGGCGTGATTGAGTGAGGAGGAAGAGCGGAAGAAATTCCCATGCACACTTTTGGAGCGGCTCCAAAAAGCGGCACGCGCGGCCAAACAGATTTGCTCCTCGTTACATCTTCATCTGGCGTCTTTTATCACCACAGCATGTATTAAATTCAAAGCGGCGCCACCCGAGTGACAAAACTCAACAAGTCGCCTCGCGCTCATATTTTCTGCCGCGGATAAATAAGCTCGGTGGAATTTGTGATTCACCCCTTTCTACCACTTCAATTAGCTAACAGGAAACTTTCACGTTTTGGCCGGCCGCGGTGGCACCGGAAAAAAAAAATATTCTTCGCATTCTTTCGCCCCGCACTCGTGTTATTTGCAACCCCGGAAGGGTCCATTATATTGACCATCAGTAAACTTGGCTCTTCGGCGGCGCCGAGTACAAATTGGGACACTCAAATGTCTCAAATCTGCATGTTACTTTTGCAAATTATTTTTGCCACATTTAAAGAAAGTTAATTATTGTATTATAATTTTAATTTATTAGTTCCACTTATCACTTGCTTAACCAGTGAAACAATAAAAAGTTTTATTTCAACTATAAATTATATTCATATTTAAAAAGAAATTATAAAATTTATATTAATTTAAAAATATTAAAAAAAATTATTTGAACCTATCAGTTATTTTAAAATAAACATTTGAAAGTTTTTAAATTTGATATTCACAAAATTTTATTTCATAAAATGAAAAATTATTATTTTATTATATTATTATTTATCAGGAATTGATATGGGAATTTCTGCACATTTACGTGGAAACTCAGCAGAGCGTGTTGTTTTTGCTCTTGCGTTTGTGAAATTCCTGTTTTCGGAAACGCGCGCGACTCATGCGTTTTTCATCAAAAGCGAGATTCGTCATTGATTCCTATGTGCATGTTGCGAGCAATGAAAGTCTTACGTATTTATTTGTTACCTGCAGGTGTGAATTAATTACAAAGTAATGAGAAATAAAACAGAAAATTAAGTCTAACCTCAAGCAAATCGCTCAATCTCTGATACGATAATCGGTACCTCTGCCCTAAAACAATTATGTGCTGACTTGAATTTTATTTGCTGCTTTGCAATTCTAGGAAATTTTATAGATCATTAATTAATTGAGGTTATGCAAAAGAAAATTATCCTCAAACAGGAAAACTTATAAAACGGAAATAAGTTATATTTTTATGGTATTTTTTCAAAGGGAAACTTTTTCTAAATATAATTCTAATTGTTAAATCACATCCAATTGAGCCTCTCTTGAAATAATTGTTGGAAATTTTCTTTCGCAAGTATTTGAACTTTCGCGTGATGATTTTGTATCTGTGCAATCTGTCGTTGTTAGTCACCGCGGCGGTAAAAAGGGCGATTTTTGCTGCGGTTTTGCACCTGGCGGCGTCGAGAAAGGGCTAATTATTGTTATTGGCGGCGGCGGCGGCGGCGCGGAGTCGAGAGACGACCTTGCCTTAATTACTGTGGCCAAACAAACAAACAAGTAGAAATGAGAGAGAGACTGTAACGGCACCGCGCTTCATCTTTGCGGTTTTCGCAGTTTACCTACCTTTTTATATATAAAGAAGCTGCACGCACCTTATACAAATGCATAATAGGATGTGTGGTGAAATTAAAATTAAAATATACCTCTTTTTACATTGCTTTTGATGTGATTTAAGTAAAATAAAAAAATTATTAATATCGTATTGCATTATTATAAAATTAATCAGGCCGTTTTTTTTTTTTGCGAAAGCCTCTCCTCAATCTATAATATTGGGTCTTGTATTTATGTGATTTAAAAATTCTATAAAATATTTTGAAAGATTTTAACTAAAAATTGCTATTTATTTGATTCGAAAATTTCAATTCATTCAAATATCTACTTAAATACCATGAAATCTAAACTCAAATTAAATTTGTGTGTTGTGTTGGTTGCAGGTTTTGGCTTCGGCGGACGCGTCGACCATCAGACAAATTGGAGACGCGGCGCTTTGCCCATTCGAGGCGAAGCAGGACAGAGACGACACACGAACCCCTGCCACAATCACCCAACTCACCTGTAAATTTTCAAAGTCCATGATCCTGAACACGGACTCGGAGGACGCCATGCCTACGGGCATCACCTGTGAGCAGATTGGAGGCACCTGCAAGCAAATCCACACCACTCTCGGCGTTTCCTACGCCAAGAGTTTGATTGCGAACAGGGCGGAGCGCTCGCTGGGCAGAAGCAGAGGGGTCAGGTCGGTGCGACGTCACCACAACATCAGGGTCAATTCGGCCTGCGTGTGCGTGCTCAGCAACGGCAAACCGGCCCTGCCTGTCAACCCCATCGTCGAGGACCGCAGGTGAAAACGAAAATTGACAATAAATGAACCAAATCGTGAGAACTTGTGATACTTTGTGGAATGAAGAGAACCAGTCAATGAAGATTTTGTATTTATTTGCAAAGTGGATTTCAGTTGAAACAATCCCCACCGCCATTGAATGTGAAAGTTTGCTTGAAGCTGAATAACTTTTATAATTAAGTATTTATCATTGATTGTCACTTTGTTTGCGAATTAAAGTGGATTTCAACAATGCCCAAATTGTCTCTTTAAATCATCAGTTTTGGATACGATGCATCAAATCTCATCGATCGAGCCAAAATATTTTGGAAATATCCCTAATTTTAACGTTTACCCAATTATTTAATTGCAGTAATTCGAAGACTTTTTTTTAATCAAAAAATTTTAAAATTCAAACAGAATGTTAAAAGGTATGGCGCATCTTTTAATGATTTCAATATTTGGTCCAGATTGTATATTTTCAAGAGACAAAAGTAAAAATACTTTTTGACCTTTGACAAGATTCAATACCCCTTGACTTAGAAACTTTTTCACCACTTGATTTATTATCTTGAACCTCCTACAGAGAAATGCAAGAAATCTCGCATTTTTAGTAAACACCTTTTTATCTGTGACTGAGATACGTTCATAACTTTTGTGCTTTCAAAACCAAAATATGAACTATCGTAGTATTTTTTTTCGCGGGAATCATCTAAAAAGTTTACACAATTTCCGTTGATCAAAATAATTTATAACCAAATCAACAGTTTCAAATAATGATTCGCTTTTGAGCCGTTGAAATCCTTTTCATGTGAGAGTGCTGAGAATCTCCCTCTCTTTGTAATTTATTGAACTTTATCCTTTGGAAAACTGATTTGTAAATATTTGTTTAAGAAATATGAGAAAAATCTTGCTTGAAAATAATTGTGAATCACCTCGTTGCGTTTTGTGAGGTTGCCAATGTGTCTTCAGGGCAAAAGCCCAGCCTTGGAATTGAAACATTTTTACAAAAATGAAAAAACTTGTTCGATGATTAAAAAAATTGAGTTTATCAAAGTATTTTAATGAAAGATGTTTTTAAACTATAGAAAAATATAAACATAATACAAGAGAAAAAAATTAATAAAGAAGACTAAAAATACTTTTATTGATTTATTTCACCCCCTGAACAGTCAAATGAGTTATAAAATGAAAAATAAATTAAACGAATAATTAAATGAAAAATTTTATCTTATTCCGATATTAATCTAAATTTCAAAAGTTTAATAATAATTTTAAAGCAAAATCACATTTTATTATTTATAACTTCTTGAGGAAGCTTTTAAGAGAATCCTTATATTTTTTGTTCAATGAATCTTCTCTCAAATCGTAATTTTAAAAGATTTTCATGTCAATTATTAAAAAAAAAAAAAAAAAAAATTAGGCCGAGAATGTTCTTCTCATTTTGGCGAAACCAGGAAGCGAGAAAAGTGCACATTTACGTGCATCGTGCGTTTTGTTTTCGCAGCGCGTCACATTGTCGGCGTGTGATTCACGTGAGCCAATTTGCGTTCTGGCGCGCGCGGGGGCACCAGCTGTGGATATCCGAATTGTTAATCGGCCTGGTGCACAGTGACATCAGAGCAAGCACGGCCGTGACTCAAGAAGAAAAACAAAGATAGACGAATTCCGCAAAGGCGAATGCACTATACTTTATTTTTTCTACGGAATTAAATAATAGTCGCGCGCCCACCTAGGCTTGACGGATCAGTCGGCGCGCGCGGGCTGCAAACTCTCGGGGTTCGTTTCCCGGAGTCTGTGTGACGCAGCATATAATTATTGATCAGCCGACGCCGAGAGCCGAGACCTGCTCACTTGCGCCTCTGCACATTATTTCATTCACCCGCTCTGCTCCAATTTGCCGTCTGCGGGCGTTCTCAATTTTACACTCAAAAAAATGTCTTATACAATAAATAATATTATTCCTGAATGATTATTTTGTATTAAATTGTACAAATGACCAACAAAAAACATTATCTTTAGATCAAAAATAAATAAAATGTTTCAATTTTAATATAATTCAAATTAAGTATTGTTGGTGATTGAATTTAAATTTCGCTTCAAAATTTCAAATGACGGTTAAAAATGGCTACTTTTCTCGTAAAGTAAGTCAGTATGGAGTGAAAGGATCCCTCAATCGTCAAAATTATTCTATTATAACTTTGTTGATTTCATCATAATTGCCTCAACTTTCTGATCAAAACTACAAAAGGGTCAACACCTTGTTAAAATAATGAAATTTTAAATAAAAAAGGAAATTTTCTTAAAATAAAAATTCTAAAAATGAAGAAAGTTTGGCCAAAAAAAATGTATAGGAATTTCTGCCACCAGATGTGTTCCAAATTTTATAAGTAATTTTCAACGCTGTAAGTTTTATGGTCCTTAATTATAATTCACTGACAAAATAAAAGCAAAATTAAATTATTTTCCTTCGTCTCTCTTTTTCTTGTTGTTAAGTTTTTAAAGCGCTTACATTTTTTCATTTCAACGTGAAATGATACTTTAAAAAGAAATCTCTAGTATAATAAAAATTTAATGATTGATTTTTTACCTTTTAGCAGGTTGAAGAACCAAGATGATTCATAGAGAGCGCAGATGAGCATACGTGGGATCGGCTGGTCGATCTCTTGATGAAAAATCCGGATCAGTGACATTCCATTTCGTATCAAGTTGTATAATTTGTGGACCGCATCACCTCTGAGGCATGCACGTGTTGACTTTCGCAGTACGAACTATTTATAATTTCATAGAAAAGTCTGTTAACGCCCTGGAAACATATTTTAATGCCTCTCGGATTTTAATTAAAACCAGAGTTAATCCCAGCGTTGTTCTGGTAAAATGCGCTCTTTTCAATAAATACATAATGAAAATTGTCAATAAAAAGGCATATATGAAATCAGATTTTTCTGATAATTGGAGTAAAGATATTATAAAGAGTGTTTTTTATTATTAATTTTTGAGAGCTCAATTTTTTAAGATAAAATTCAAGGTTCTCAAAGATAGGCAGCCGGTGCATCCTCAATGCATTGCGGTTACATAAGACTAAAAAAGTATTCAAAAAATTTTTAAAATAAACACAAAAATGAAACTGTAACATACATTTTATGTAATTTAAATTAATAAAATATTAAATTTTATAATGATCTTGTTTGTTAAATTACCATTAATTTTGCCACATTTAATAATTATGTAATTGTTTAAACTTCAATTATTTATAAAAAAAAAATGAGTTTCTTTTATGATGGTCAACAGCAAATTTTGCAGTGTTTTTGGTGACGATTGCGCTCCTCTCTCTTGTGCAGCCTCTCGCCGAAGGACCAATTTCCACAGCAGCTCAAATCAATCCTCTGAAGTTTGATTTTTTTGTTCTCGTTGAAAGGAAAACGTGATGTATCGGGCGAATGTGCTTCTCATGTAAATAAAAATGAGTCACGCTACTGGCAATGCACGCGGTGTGTGTTAAATTAAATGTATTGTACAAAGGCCTGCGACAGCACAGCACTCCTCTCTTTCTCTCTCTCTAGAGAGAGGCGAATGCAATTCTTTTTAGGACGGAAATGCCTGCATTCCTCCTTGTATTAAATTATGCAGCTCTCTTGGACAGATTTGGTTTTGTGAGAAATTGGAACAAGAAACAAGGCGGTGTGATTTATTTTCAACAAGGTTTTTTATTGAAAATTATCGCATATATCCTAAATTAGAATCTCGTCAAATGAGAAACAATCAAAGATTCTAACAGCAGAAATTATTTTCATCTTTTTTTGCGTGAAATTTATTTGTTATTTTTTCAAATACGTGCGCGTGTGTAAATATATGCAAATTTATGTATACTCATGGAAAAACTGGTGGATTATGTTGCTTGAATTATTGATTTCGAATGCGTGTGGTCTACATTAATTAAACCGGTGGTGTGTCTTAAGCGCTATTCAGCCCGCGAGATCGGAGCCCAATTCCAACACAGCGTGAGATCTGAGCTGGTGAGTTACTTTCAGGAAAAATGTCCTACGAGACTAAGATTTGAAAAACCGGAAAAAGTAACAGCAGCGAATTTCAATGCATTAATAACGATTTTTATTTATTTCTTCAAAAGGATTGAAAAAGTGAAATTCAATTTCAAAATCTCAGTATTGAGCAAAATCTTAAAATTTTACTCAAAAATTTTGATTCAAAAACATAATTTTTCATTTACATTTTTGACCAATCATTGAATTTTCGTTTTCAACCAAATTGACAAAGTTTTAAATTTCTAATCTGGGCAAATCTCACTGCTGGAATATTTTATATTTATTTACGAGACTATAATAGTAAAACTAAATTCCTGGAAAATAATTAACAGTATTTCAACTCTACACAGCACTCTCTCGCTACCCCAACTAATGCACTTCATGTTGAATTGTAATTTTTTATTTATTATTCCTTCATAATTACGGGTTTTTTCTCAATGCATAATATTAGTAGTTAAATTACTGCTTTTTTCTCTAACACAGCATCAGCAACAGTGATCAAAAAGTTAGTTCTTCCAGAGCGTAATATTATTATAGGTAAATCTTTTAATGTTATAGATCGTATTTGAAATTATGTACAGCGTCGCAAAGCACATTTCATGTTTATATAATTCTGAATCTCGCCCTTCCATATGTACTCGAATCAAATTTCTTTCTTTTGAGCTCGAAAAAGGTCCATTCAGTTTTGCCATCTTTGTATTATTATTTTTTCTTCTCATTCACACACACGAGAGTGAATAGATTTTTTGTATATATAATACGCGAGTTTCTTCTTTCTCAGTTTATATTTATTTCTACCACTTTTGAACACAAGAAATACTTTTTCTTTTTATATTTGTTTGCATCGTCCATCTAGGTTTCATTATTTTTCATATAAAATATTTACAATACTCAAACACGTGTGTTAATAACTTTAGTATAATTCTTCTTTAACCATCAAACCACCTTTTATTTTAGCATCCATCTCCATTTTCCAAAAATGTAGTATTTTAAATTTATTATTCCTTTCAAACTTCGTCGCCTCTGATTATTTCAACCTTTTTCTTTCACACACAAAACGATCTTTTCCTCTCTCTTCTTATAACCAATGTTAATTAATTTTCATTTAAATAACGCATTTTTTATAAGTTATACAGACTGTGTGTTTAAACGGGTGTGTTGCCTTTTGCCTTTTTTAATTTCTCCTTTTTTTTCATTCAACATCTAGAACAGCAATTGTTTCATACATGCTACCAGAAGTAATAGTGTCGAAATTTCATCGACCATCACTTTTTGTTGGTTGTTTTTTTTTTCTTCTTCTCTATTATTAATATATTAATTTTTATTCATCATTAATCACCATCAAGCTTCGTGAATCAGTTTTCTAGATATCACTCGGCTCTATAAAATCTTTGTCAAATATACAAATGAGTGAATAAAACTTCGGTGATTTAAATCAATCGCATTTTATTATTTAAACATCGAACCAACGAACGCACTGTCAATTTTATTATTATTATTATTTTAAATTACTTCTTCTTCTTCGTTTGCTTTCCATTTTTTTATTCGTGTGTCTGTGAGTCGCAATGTGTGTATGTGATTGTTTTTTCCTCTCCTTTTTTTTAACTTGCCATAAGTGTTTGTGTGTGTGAGTGTGTGTCGTGTGTCTTTATTTAACAAGTTGAAAAATGCAACAGACAGAAGGAGCGGCGTACGCACTACGATCGTTTTTATCATCAATCAACAAAACGATTACATACAACAGTTATCGTCTTATTCGTATTTTTTTTTTCGTTTTTTTCTTTTACTTTTCACTGCGGAGCAAAATCGTGACAAATCAATTGCAAAATGAAAACAAAAATCATGAAGCACGCGATTGAAATTGTTTTTGTCGTTTTCTGGGGACAAACAATTATATATTTGGTTGTTTAAAAATCGGTTTTTGAAATCATCAAACTGTACTGGAATGTAGTAATAATAATTTTTTGTTCTGCTCGTAGGGGGCGTTCAATAAATCTGAGAGCTACTTTAACAAGAAGGGCCCTACTGTTGAAAGTGTGTAACCGGCACAAGAAGTGAACTGAGTATATTCTTTATTATTATCTCTTCAAAAATTTTCAACGTGTTTTCTCGCAACATTATTTGTTTTCTCTTAAAAACATCATTTTCACATTCCTTTTTCATCAATGGCAGGATTTTTGATGCACTTTTGTTTGGTTTCTTCATTTTATATTTTCATCTCGCTCGAATATCGTATCTCGATAATTTCAATTTCTTTTTTTAAAATCAGGAGCGCAGACTACATGATAAGTCTAGTAAAGGTTGTTTTTTTTGTTTTACTTTCGTCGTGAGTGTGCATAAAAGCCACTATTAAAGTTGTCTCGTGTGTTCTTTTTATTCTTTTTGAGCAAGGACAAAACTAGAAAAAGACTTGCTTTCGTCGCGTCGATTTTTGGTATTTCTTTCCATTCACAGGTCTATGGCGGTCTGAAGGGAGGACTGATTTTGTTTCTCACTCGCTTTTGTAAAAAAAAAAAACTCAAGAGAGGGGCCTGCATTGCGAATTTCTCGGGACTTGCGGAGGATTGATGCGATATTGATCAGCAATTTTGAATTATTTGTTTTAAATTATTGGTTTTATTCTTGATGAAATACCTCATTGCGTTTTATTCATTATAATGAATTAATAATATCTTCATCATCTCATCTATACAGGCCGTCATGTATTGTGTGTGTGTCGTAGGCAGCTAAACAATTTCTCATGTTGTATCATATCATAATGATATTAATGGAAGCAGCAAAACCTCATACAGTAGTTTTATACAGAGTTGTCTCCTTGCCCCTTTCAAAACTTTAAGCAGCTTCACATCAAATCCAATTACAAAACCAAAACCTTGATTTATATATCCTTGAATTTTGATTTTTTTTTTTATACAAACAAAAGTTCTTCTTCCATTTTGTTTAATTTATTGTATTTTTACTTAAAATCTCCTTCCACTACAGACATTGAAGTTGCCGTTTCTTTCTTTCTTTCGCCGCACGTGAATCGCTCTTCATTGTTTTTTTTTTCAAGATTTTTCAAATTCCATTTTGTTTTACTTTTAACAACATAAACACTCATAACCTCTCATTTTAACAATTTATATAACACTTCACGCCACAAAAATATAACTCGCACATAATAATTATAGTTAGTATTAATAAAATGGCAGTGTCCTCAAAAGCAATCGTCTCCGGAGGTGCCGCCGCCGACCGCCCTGAGCCACCTTTTCCCGAAAGGTCGCGCCAGGGCGACGCTCAACCGAAGGGGCGCTCGATGGTCGGCGGCCGCGCGCGGAGGATCGTTTCCGAAGACGCGGTTTATAATAAAACGGTCTCAATTGCTTCATTTAATATTCAAAAGGGGAACAACAGATTTTTTCGAGTGTTTCCTCTTTCGTTCGCTCTCTTTCTCTCGCCGTGATAATACTTTTCGCGATTTTTATACAACAGTTTTCTCAAGAATAGAATGGTCTCTAGCACAACAATTTTGAATAGAACTTTTTGTGTGTGTGTTTATACTAAATTTATTATTTCCAGCACAATTCTGCTTCATTTTATGTGTGTGTGTGTGTATAATATATTCGCTTTCAATTCAATCGAGAGCCAATGATCGGACATTTTTTTTTTCTTATACTCCTTGCCACTGCGGTTAGTTAGTGCTTTTTCTTTATGTTCCTGTGTGGTGATGTGTGCATTTACTCTCTCATTACGTCTCAGCACTAAACTAATAAAAACAAGATAAAAGTAGTGAAGAAGATTTAACAGCATTTTTACATCTTGGTTTATTTTAATTTTCTCTCTTTCTTTCTTCCTTTCCATGTGAGTGTTGCGTGTTTTTTGTGTGTCGTTTCTCTTTCATTTTTCTTTTTAAATAGATTAACCAACTCGCCAGAAACGAACAGACAAACAACTCCTCAGCATTTGTTTTTTATGTACTTGTAATTTTAACTCTCTTGTGAACAGTCTAGCAAAAAAGAAATGCTGCTTTACCACTTTTCCTTTTTGAGATGCATATACGAGTAAACAATATACACATTGAAATACAGCATTTATTTTTTCCTCAAATATATGTTTTTCGCACTAGCACTTGGATTTACTTCTTCCGATCTCCTTATTTTTTAAATCATCATCATTTTTTTTTTTGAAATTTTTCTCTCGTTATTACTCTAGCCAGTTTTTACTGGCGACAAAAAACAAGTTCAGTTCGCAGAAGTGTCACTACTGTTAAATGGTGGCCTACTAAAACGTGGCTCCAGCAAAGAATAAGAAAGCGCTCCAATGTGATTTTCCTGCAACATTCTCAATGAACTCGCGTCCGCGGCGGGGCAGCAGCGAATTCGTTGATTTTGGCTAGCTTGCAACGGAATTCTCTATGGGTTCTTTTCTCTTTCTTATTTTTCCATGGTGGCAACATGCAAAGAAGCAATCGCGTGATTAGAGGTGGGACAGCGGTCGTCGGATGGCAATCTTCTTTCTCTTCCTCGCTTGCTGGCTGAGTTTCATTTGATCCCAATCGACGGTCTTCTGCTCGAGACAGGCCTGTATGTGTCTGTGTGTATTTGAGTGTGAGTGTGCTTTTTTTGGTTTGTAACGTAAAAAGGTCTTTTGGTGCGGGAGGGGGACGATGCTGGCGATCCGGCGGCAATATTGTCCCCCTCCCGGTGCCTCCACTAAGTCCACAGCCCCTGGTTGGAATGTGCCACTATTGCCGCTTGCTGCTGCTACTACAGTTAATCTGGTTGGTAATTATGCTTGGAGCGTTGATATTTCATCGATAATTATTCCTTATCATGTAAAGGCAAAGCGACCTATGAATGGATTCCCTCTTTTTATATTTATATAGAGATATTTTTCTTTTTTCGGTTTTGATTTCTCGAAACACGTTGTTGTTCTGCCGATGCGCGACCGCGTTCTCGTCCCAGGAGGAGGAGGAGGAGATGATGCTGAGGAATAATGCTGGCATTGTTGTCGTCGAAATGGTTCTTGTTGGCAAAGCGAAGACGGATCAGGTCGCCTCAATAATATAAAAGAAAGTAGGGTAGTCGCACATGCCTTGAAAGGAGAAGTGACGCGTCTAGTAGTAGGTCTCCTGCTCCAACCAGCCACCGGGATTCCGGCGCAGGTAAAAACGACGGCATTCGTCATACACGAAGATGGTGATGGAGAAGGGAATGGCTGGCAGCCACCACACGAACCTGCAAACAAAAAATCACACAAATTAGATAGAGCCAAATTTATCAAATCACTTAAAAATTCCCCAATGATTGAAATCAATTGCAGAGCATTTCAAGAAAATTTAAAAGCAATGGTTTAAAAAAAGGAAATAAATAATGAAGAAAAGTTTTGCTAAGGATATTGAGCTTCTTATTTAGCATGAAGTTTGGTCCCAAGTTCTGATTTGTCAAATTGAAACCCATCCTTAAAAATCAGGATCCAAAAAATGAGCCCTAGACTTTTCAACCCCAAAATATTTATATCATTTCTTCCAATGTTATTGAATTTTGTTAATAAAAATTGGCTCTTACTTGAGAGGGTACATCCTGAGACCCTTGTCCATGCCAGGAGTGTAGGAGAGGAAGGCGGCGAGGGCGGTCTCGAACACCAGACCGAAGTTCAACACCCAGTTCCTGCAAGAAAAGAATAATTTGTTAATACAAGAAATTACATTTTTTGAAGTCATTTTACCTCATGCCCTGGTGCACGATGGAGTTACGCCTTGTCTTGCAAATGATCAAGTCAGCCCATTGCACAATCACAATGGACACGAAGAAAGCAGTGTGGCAAGTGTACTCAAGGGTCTTGCGGTCACGGTAAGTCTGCGAAAAGGAATAAAAATTTAGGTTTTGATTAAAAATTATGCAACTTGGCAGGCGCGGGTGACGAGCAGGTTGCATACCTTTTTATTGAATTTATTTCATTTCACTTCAAAAGCAACGAATTAAGAAGAACAGGGTAATTTAAATATAGCTTTTAATTTAATATTATATTTCACTGCTTTTCTTAATTCAACACTTCAACTTAAACTCGAATTAAATCAAATTGATCCCAATTTTGAAAAAGTATTTATGTTGTAAACAATAAATTCATTTTAGGTTACGAATGAATTTCTTACCCATTCCTGACCATAGGAGTCGGTAAGATCGTTGACAGCCTTGGAATCCCACTGCTTGCGGATTCCGAGGAGGTCTCCGGGAAGGAAGCCGTTTTCGGCCATGATGACAAAGTAGACAAAGAAGCCTGCAGCAGCTTGGATCATGCCAATCTGACCGTAGGCCATGGAGATGAGCCTGGATACGGGAACAAGAGCCAAGTTAGAAAATTTCTAAACATCCAAAGTTGACGCCACCAATTTGAATTTTTTATTTTTACTCTCAAAAAATTACTATGGAAATAATTTACAGGTGGCATTTCGAAAAATCTTTTTCAAGCAGAGCTGTGAAAACAAGCTACGCAAGAGAATGAGAGAGAGAGAGAGAATTCTTATTTTTTTTTCGCAAAAGAAGTGAGAAGTTTTTTATGCGAAAAGTTAGTTTTTTTTGTAAACACACGAGATTAGTTGTAAGTTGTAAATAAAGAAAGGCAGCAAGTATAAAACCAAATCAAAGAGCAGCAGAGGAAAAATATTTACACCGAAATACTCACGGTTTTGCTCCTCGCTTGCACACATACATATTTTTTTTCGGTTCTACACAAAGAGATACACACGTATAAATGTCCGAAAAAAGCAGTGGTTCAATTCTTCCTCGTCCTTCTGCGGCCGGTGTGAGCGACAGTGTGAGTGAGTGGTTGTGACAAAAAGGACCAACGAACAAGAACCAGACAAAGAAAGAAAGGCATTCCATAGCACCTATGAGACAGACGCACACCAACAACCAAGGAAACGAAAAGGGCTTGCGTCTAACACACAAACCAAAATAATGGTTTGAAAATATCTCCATTGCATTGATTTTTCTTTTTTTTTCTCAAAAATTGTGTTCGGAAAGAAGGGTGAGATGGGTGAAGGACAAAAGCATGAAATTAGATGAGATTGGCGCACAATGAGAGAGAAATATCAGGAGTTATGAAGAATGAAAGATTCAGGTCAGGATTTTTTTCTGTGCTTCTCCTTCTTTTGAAAATCGTCCACAGTGAATTGAGCTTTGTACACAGCATGTTTTCTTTTTTTTTTAATTGTGGCACTTTTGGTCTCAAATAACACCATGCTCAGGGGTCAGCCGTATATAAAAACTCTATTGAAAAAACCGTTCTAAAACATCAAAACTGGTGAAAAGCTTCAAAAATTGTTAAGCTTCCTTTCGGCAAAGTATATTTTTGTTTGTCGGAATCGTGTGTTGGTAAACTTCTGCGTAACATGCGTCCCTCGTATGTATGTACACCAAACGGAATGTATATAAAAAAAAGAAAAATTACGAATTGACCAAATATATTAAACACACTGATTTGAGAACCGACGACATCGATTAAAAGCACATTTATCACTCGCTAAAACTAAAAAATATCAAAATCATATTGATAGAAATAACTCTTGAGCGTACGAAAATCATCGAAAAAAAATTGCTTTGAATTTGAAACAAAAAGTTTCGGAAAAAGGAAAAAAAAGAGAAAACCATCGAGTTGAGGCTTATTTAGTGTGTAGTTTTTGGTCTGTTTGCAATGAGCCACAACCCACCTTCGGTTGACTAGATTATCCCTGTAAGGGTCACGAGGCTGACGTTTCATGATATCAGATTCTGGTGCCTCGTAGGCCAGAGAAATAGCAGGTACCTAAATAATATGGCAGGCCGAGTTAGTGGTAGTTGAGGAGAGCAGTATGAAAGAAACAGACTAGTTCAAAATCAAGATTAATAATAATGAGACAGTATTTTGTGGTGAGAGAGCAAGTTAGATAGGAGCAGTAGTAATAGCAGTGGTGGTGGTTGTTCGTACTTGTGGTTGCTTGGTGGGTGGGACAAATCGCATTTCGTAAATATAATTATATGATCAAATGAAATTATTTTATGCAAAAATCGAGATAGGGCGACCGGATTCGAATCTCGGTTCGTCCGCATGCGCTTGACCCAAAATCAACAAGGCGGCCTCCATGTTCAAAACCAAAAAAGGTCTCAATTACAGTGGTGATTCAAAGAGAGGAAATCAAAAAATCTCGCAGCGAGTGTGACAGGGTAGTGAAGCGGCACGGACACGCAGACAAAAATACAGACAGGCAAAAAATAAAGTAATGAATCTGAGCGAAATCAACGGAAAGTGAAAAGAAATCTGGACTAGAGTTACGAGTTGAAAATCGGTAAATAATACTTTGGTATTTCAATGGGCAGGCAGAATCTGATTGATGCCGGCATTCGCGTACCTACCTTGGACGAGCGAGCGACCAATTCGGAATTCGGACTTTCAGCTTATCATTTATATAATTGAGATATAAAAAAATATGCACGTTTTTATTTGAAAAGAATTGCTCTGGAGATTGGTTTAAATTTCACGACGCATCTCATGACAAAACAAAGACTAGACAACCCAAAACCAAGGAGTGGATAGATAAAGAGAAAGAGGAAAATATATATGTATAGATAGAGAAAATTGCTGCTTTTTCTTTTTTTTATAGAAAAATAAGAGGCAAATAGGCTGCTGGCCTCGACGGTTTAGTTTTGGAAAAATTACCTTTCGTTTACAAGTTTATCTGAGAAAGGATTTCGCGGCTGACGCTTCATGATATCAGATTCGGCTTCCTCGTAGGCCAACGAAATGGCAGGGACCTGATTGCGGGCACGGCACAAAAATCAAAGTAAAACAACAACCAAAGGAAAACCAACAACATGTACAAAAATCAACAGGCAATATGGAATATTTTTTGTTGAGTCTGGATCAATTGTGAAAAAATTGAGTTTTGTTTGTTTTCGCAAATTTTCGCAAATTTCTAATCCTGTTTGCAGATTTAAAAACTCTCTATATTGAAAAGGCAAAAAACATCTGAAATATAACTCTTTTGCTGCAGGCAGGGCACAGTTATATAAAAAGCATTCAGTGCAGGCTGGTATAGTGTGTGAATCTTTAAAAAAAAAATTAAAAGGCTAAAATCTGAGGAACCAAAAGTGACGGGTGGGGAAATTCAAACCGCCAGTGTGAAACTTATTTTTTTTTTCAAAATTAGGCCAAGCTTTGATATATTTTTACTAATTATCATGTCAGGGGAATTCAGTGAAATTATTTAGATTGGTGAAATGCAATAATAATTCTGCATCATTGAGGAAAACTATTCTAATAAAAAAATCCGACTTGTCAAGATTGACTATCTACATTTGAGACGAAATTTTGCCAAGATCTGCCGGTGAGGGATTTCAAGTCTGAAATTTCTGGCGTTGAAATCCCTCAATTCGAGGTAATAAAGTGTATTCAAATTTTTCATGTGTCCAATCAATCTGGTCACCAGGTTAAGTCACTCTGCAAAATCCACTTTTCTAGCAAATGGTTAAATTAAAACTTGTTAATATTCACTCATCGGAAAACTCAGCAAACCAGAGAAACTAAAAATGTCACCTAGCTACCTTTCATTTACTAATTTATCAACATATGGGTTGCGTGGTGGGCGTTTCATGATATCTGCCTCAGCTTCCTCATAAGCAAGGGAAATTGCAGGCAGCTAATTGTTCGGTGAGAAAAATTGTGTCAATTAGAAATGGACTAACATGGAGAGAAATAAAAGTACTAAACATATCAAATTCTAAACTAAATTATTCTCGGACGAGAGTTGTTGACCAGCTTTGAATCCAATTAATCAACATTTTTTGTGAAAAACTGGGACTTTGCTTGGCCAATTGGTTTTTCTTTAAATTTAAAAGTCCCAGTTTTTGGTATTATAAATCCATATGCCTTCAGAACAACACAGATTAGTGACTCATTTTGGGCGCCTGTTTTTTTTTTAACTGCAGCCGAAAATGAGCCAAAAGTTCATGATATAAAATTTATTGCAAATTTTGGACTGTTTTCGCAAAATGAAACCATTTGACAACCTTCGAGGAGACGGACCAAGAGCAAAGAAGTTCAGAAGATAAAGAGAACTGTGATTTTCTCTAGAGATGAGATTGCTCAATTGAACCAAAAATTGGTTGTTTTTAACTCCTGGACTTAAATGTATTTATGCAAAATATAGTTAAAAATTTTCTAGCAATACTCAATTTAAATGATTTTATATGAGATTCAACTTGCTACAAAGAAGAGAAGAGAATAGCTTACTGGAGAAAGTGATTTGAACTTTGGGAGTTACCTGCTGTTAACCAATTTATCATAATAGGGGTTTCTTGGTCGTCGTTTCATGATATCTGACTCAACATCTTCGTAAGCCAAAGAAATGGCAGGTATCTAATTGCAAAAATTTAACAGTTAAGCATCCGAGTTCACAAGTTTCAGATGTAAAATTGATCCGAATGTTATATAAAAAATGCATTTTTTTCAGGAACAGTCCAAACTGCAGTATGAAAAGGTAGTTAGAGAGAAATGGTGGGCTCGGGTCGGCCCACGCATACTCACCATGTCGGTTCCCAAGTCAATGCAGAGAATGGTCACGGTTCCCAGAGGCAGTGGCACGTCAGCCAAGATGAACAGCAGGAAGGGCGAGATCTCAGGGATGTTGGAGGTCAGGGTGTACGCAATCGACTTCTTCAAGTTGTCGAAAATCAGACGACCCTCCTCAACACCAGTGACGATGGAGGCAAAGTTGTCGTCGAGCAGAATCATGTCAGCGGCTTGCTTGGACACGTCGGAACCGGCAATACCCATGGCAACACCTGGAATTCCCTCGGAATGAGTAAAAAATAAAATACTTAACCTAGAGATAGGATTTTACCAATGTCAGCCTTCTTGAGGGCGGGAGAGTCGTTGACACCATCACCAGTTACAGCCACAATGGCACCCATGCGCTGGCAACCCTCAACGATGATCAGCTTTTGCTGGGGTGAGGTACGGGCGAACACAATTTCAGTGTGGTGCCTGAAAATTAATAAAAAAATGTTTTAAATTTTCTATTAAAATTAGAATTGAATTTAAATTTTAACTTTAAAATGTTTTAAATCAAAATAAAAGAAGAATAACTTTTTGTACTATTATTATATCAGTTTCTTTCTTATTTTTAATTTACCTGAGGATTTCATCCAGGTTGTCGGAGGTGAGTTCACGCAGTTCAGAACCGTGGACAACGGCGGCCTTGGCTTCGCGGGGGTTGACTTCGGAGACGGGGATGTTGAGTCGCTGGGCAATGTCCTCAACGGTTTCGTTACCCTCGGAGATGATTCCTACAGACTTGGCAATAGCCTTGGCAGTGATAGGGTGATCGCCAGTGACCATGATGACCTGCGAACCAAATTTAGTTTAGCAAATTTTCATACTTTGGGGTTGGGAATTGCTGACCTTGATACCGGCAGATCGGCACTTGGCAACGGCGTCAGGCACGGCAGCGCGGGGAGGGTCAATCATGGACATAAGTCCGACGAAGCGGAGTCCGGAGGTGGGGAAGTTTGGATCGTCGGCGTCAAACTTGAATCCAACAGGGTACTTGTCAGAGGGCAGCATGAAGTCGCAGAAGCCGAGCACACGCTCGCCCAGGCCGCCCAACTCGAGGTAGGCGTTGTTGAACGCCTCCTTCATTTCCTCGTCCAAAACCTTCTCCTTGCCGTTGATGAAGATGGAAGAGCAGCGGTCCAGGATGCGCTCCGGGGCACCCTTCATCACCAGGATCTGTCTGGGGTCGTTGGCGTCCTCGTTCTCGTGGATCGACACCTGGAACTTGTTGGTCGAGTTGAAGGGGATTTCGCAGGCCTTCTTGTTGCGTTTGCGGATCGACAGGACGTCGCCAAGGGCCAGTTCCATGCACTTCAGAAGAGCAGCCTCGGAAGCATCACCATTGACCTCCCTGAAAAAATAATAAATAATTTTGATTGCTATTAACGAAAATTCACTTTTTCCCTTAATTCATTACTTAAAACTTTAACCTGAATTAAATAAATTTGTAGGTGATTTAAAAATAAAATTTAAACTGACCTCTTGAGGATGGGCACTCCCTCCTGGTTGGGCTTGAACTCGGCGCGGTTGCAAAGAGTGGCTATCCTGGCGAGGGCCTTGAATCCAGGGCTGGTGCGGTCGTACTGCACTCCGGACTGATCCTCAGTGGTGTCGGCTTCAATGATCTGGTTGTCGAACCACATGTGGGCGACGGTCATTCGGTTCTGGGTCAGGGTTCCGGTCTTGTCAGAGCAAATGGTAGAGGTGGAGCCCAGGGTTTCGACGGCTTCCAAGTTCTTGACCAGGCAGTTCTTTGAGGCCATTCGCTTGGCAGTGAGTGTCAAGCACACCTGGCAAGGCAAGAGTTTAAGTAAATCTGAATCGTTTTAAAAGTTTCGGAACTTACAGTGACGGTAGCAAGCAAACCCTCAGGTACGTTGGCCACAATGATTCCGATGAGGAAGATGACAGCGTCGAGCCAGTGGTAGCCGAGGATGAAGGCAATGACGAAGAAGGTCACACCCAAGAAGACGGCCACACCTGTGATCAGGTGGATGAAATGGTGGATTTCCTTGGCGATGGGGGTCTCTCCAGTGTCCAAGCCGGAAGCCAAACCAGCGATACGTCCCATGACAGTGTTGTCACCACAGCTGATGACAATGCCGACGGCGGTACCTGAGCAAAAATTAAATTTTTTAGTCAATTTCTTTTATAATTAAAACTAAGTTCCGACCTTCAACAGCATTGGTCGAGAAGAAAGCCAAGTTCTTGGTTTCCAGAGGGTTGTCGTTGGTGAATTCAGGGCTTCTGCTCTGAGGTTCGGACTCTCCGGTCAGCGAGGAGTTGTCAACCTTGAAGCCGCGGGCCTCGACGATGCGAATGTCGGCGGGAATTCGGTCTCCAAACTTGACCTCCACAATGTCTCCAAGCACAATGTCTTCAGCGCGCAGGGTGAGCTTCTGGCTTTCACGAAGAACAGTGGCGAACTGCAAATCGTCAACCCTGTTAGCGCTGCCCTCTATTTTTATATTAATTTGTTAATTTAAACCTGGCTGCTAGTTTATGCGTATTGAACAACTTACTCGTGTTAGTCAAACGGCAGACATCCCTTAAAAGATATTATGACTCAAGTAAAAATGCGCCAGGCACAAAAACAACTATTTAATATATATTTTACTTTACTTTTCCTCTCTATAAACTAAGTTTTTAAGAACACTCAACTAGGAATCTAGTTTCAAAGCCTCTAACAAGACTAATCGTCTAATTGTGAGCTGGATTGGTGTCGAGCAGTTTTGTGTCAAGACACCCATCACGAAAAAGAAGTGAATGTTTATCATTGTCTATTTTTACCTGTTAGTACAGTTGAGTGTAAAGATAAGAGAGGTATTATTGGAACTGACAATGAGAGAGTAAGAGAGAAAAGGGAAAGGTATGTTGACGTGCTGGAGTCATCGGATTGAAAAAAAAATGGAGAGTCATTTGTGAGAAGAGTCCAAAATACACCAAAAACACCGAAGAGCTGAATTTTTACAATGCGAGGAAAAGATCAATTAGCAAAATCATCTCTTTTTCTCGCTGGTGATCTTAAGCTCGTTTAACGGGGACAAATATATTAAAAAACACCAAAATACAGCAAATTCTTTTACTTGGGTAGAGGAAATTATTCAAAAAATTGTTTGAAAAAACATCTAGATATTTGCAAAAAATTAAGGTTTGAAGGATAGGTAACTTAGGGTTATACTTACTTGTGGGACCATGTTTTTGAATGATTCCATAATTTTTGAACTCTTGCTTTCCTGGTAATATGAAAAACATCCAGTGATGATAACCACAGCAGCCAGTACACAACCCAGGTACAACTGAAAGTGTCATCGGCATACACGTGTCAAACAACATTCACTTGCAGAGATTTCACACGATCTTCGTCATTTCAAATAAATATTTATTTTTTTATTGTGTTCATTTAAAAAAAATACAGTCGTGATTTGCAAGAAGCTGTATTTGATTGGCCGGGTCAAGGGATTTCAGATAGTTTCGGGGGTGAATAAGAGAAAAACAAAAAACTGAAAAGACGTTAGGAAGGACGTAAGAAGCACATTGAAAATTCGTCTCTCTATGAAATATATTTACACGCACTCGTCACATTTGCACACCACAAGAAACATCTAACAAATCCTGCTAAGTTTTTTTTAAGCAGTTTGAAAAGTTTCCAAGCAAGCTTTTGTGAATTGAGCCGTTCCTTTTTTTGCTGTCGTTTCTCAGTTTTGGCTATCCACAGACACTAATTTTGTGTGATTATTCAATCGAAAGCCAAAATATTGTAATAATCTCCATCTATTTACAGCCAACGTTACCTGGTCGCCTGACGAGGGTGGTTGGAGCCGCTTTGATTCTCTCGACAATCAATATATAGAGAATATATAGAAACCACCAATGTGTGTGTATTTAGAGAGGCGTGTGTCTGTGGGACCATTTACCTGAGGTACCAAGCTTTTAAATGAATCCATGATTGCTGAAGATTTTGCTTCTTGGTAATAGGAGAAGCAACCCGTGATGAACACCACGGCAGAAAGTACAACCCCCAAGTAAAGCTTAGGCAAGCATAAAAGAGAACAAAGAAGAGCAATTTGTTAAAACACAAGACAAGATACAAGGTTTCATGTAAACGTCGGTTAGTTGAAGAAACGCAAGCCAGAGACGAAAATATCGAAAGAATTTTAAATTGTATCTCTGGATTGGGTTTCCAGACAGAATGGTGCAAGATCAAAATGAAATTTGTAGAGAAATTTGAAAGGCAGCAGGAAACCTTTGCTTCAATTTTCAACTTAAACTCTACGCAAAAGGCTTTCTGCTTTTTTTTTAACTGTGTATTGATGGTGCTGAAATGCAAGCATATCTTTTTACTGACTGATTTTTGAGCCAAACCAAATTGAAAAGTAGCTCTTAAATTGACTACTGGTTCGCTCTTGGCAACTCATGAGAGTCCTAGTTTGATCAAAACACTAGTCCGGTTTTCAACATGCTGACTGAATCATGCGGACTTCTTGAGGTAAGATAAAAATATTTTACGAGTGAAAGAGAATTCACGCTACGCATGCTGTTGAGAAATTAGTGCCGATAAACGTTGGCTTCATTGGTACCCATTATTTATTGATTCTAAAACGGACAGCTTGCTTTCTTAGCGAAAAATGATGTGTGAAATGGAATTTCGAATGTACATTTTTGAGAGACGATGTTAGTCAATTATTTCAAACTACTCTACTTTGGTTTCGGACAGATATTATGGCGGCACTGAAACGAAGAAGCAGAATTAGTAGAGATCGGGGGCAAAAGTTAAACGTCGGCCAATTTATTTGATTTAACACAAAATTTGATATCTTTTTTTTTTAATAATGACGTATCGATTGAAAACCAAATTAAAAATTGACGGGATACTTACATTGTCGTCAGCAGGCTCTTCGACTGTACTCGCCTGGATGGAGTAGGCAATGAAACACAGGATTGCTCCAATCCAGAGGAGCAGCGCGAAACCGCCGAACAGGTTCTTACAGAACTTGACCCACTCAGGGGTTTGCTTGGGGGGCGTGAGGGCGTTGGGTCCATCTCGTTCCAGGAACTCCTTGGCCCTGGCGTGCGTGTGACCCTGAAAATAAAAAAAAATAAATGTGTTACAATTTCAAAACGCCGCATTTTCGTGTTTGCTCTGCGATAGGCTTTTTAATTTACAATATACTGAAATGCTTCGTTTTCTTGAGGTAATTTTTTTTTGCCCGAGAGACGAGATAAGCGGTTACGCAAGAATTGTTTTTTATTTGCTCCACCGGCGATAAACAGTGTCATTTTTATACTCACTGTTTCTGGGTTGGTCTGAAAACGTCGGTATAACTCATCTATTGGAACTTTGTGGTGATCAATATCCAATTCTTGTTTCAAATCGTCTAAGTTGTCATCCTTCCCGCGCTTCTTCGGGTTTTTCCGGCGAGACTGAAAAATAATGACAGCGCAAGATTAGAGATGCGGTTATTTATATATTTGAATTTTGATTTGAGTAATAAAAACGGTGCCCGGGGAAATTTGCATAACCAGTTTGGACGGCCAGGTTTTCTTAAATTTGCATACGTCATGAGAGCGAGAAAGAGAAGTGGAGAGGAGCTAGAGGAGGAAAAACTACACCGTGGTCTTGTGACAGACGATCGAGTGATAATTTTCGCTGTGTTTGCTTTTCCTCCACTGCCGCTGAATGCACGGGGTCTATGTTACGGTTTTGTGGCACATGACACAGTCGAGGAAAATAATAGTGCAGGGGAGGATAGTGAACCGCGACTGGAATGAGCTTTGGGCATTTTTGCGGATTCCTTTTCCACTCATCATCGGATTAGATAACACCAAAAGCCTTAGGAAGTCCGAGAGTCGCCCTCGTATCGCAGGAAACAAAAGACTGGCGATTGACCAGAATTACGAACGAAAGTCTGAAGAATGCTTAAATTGTTCAAGACAATGGGACTCTAGAGAGATCGACCCTCGCTCTGCGCATGAATTTGGCCTGCGAGTACTGCATGGGCCTTACGTAACGCTGCGTGTATTGATCGGACAAAAGATTTATAAATTGGGTTGATAATTTCCTTCTGGTAAGAGCAAATGGAGTCAATTTTTAAACAAAATGCATTATTTTTATCAAAAGTTATAACAAAATTATAGTTTAAGAGAGTTTTTGTAGAGCTTTCGGCGGAGGAATTTTTCTTTTCACAAAAAGTGCAAATTTGTTAAACAAACAGAAGGCTTTTTGCGCTAACGAGCAAAGGGCCGACTCTTTAAAACTCTGCGGCTCGTCTCGCCGTGGAATTGAGTTGGAAAACAAACGAGAGCGGCCTCAACCAACTGGCGGTCGTGCCGGGCCGCGCGCATAATTGCACATTTCCTCCGTTGACAACTAAATTGCGGCGCGCATGAGATGCAAACGAGGCTCATTGTAATGTGTCCTGCAGCAACGAGAGAGAGACCAATGAAGGACGTCATCGCGATAAGAAAAAGGACGGGTTTCTTTCGCAACGCCTGCAGTGTCATCGCACGCGGCCGTTTCCAGAAAAATTTCAAGGTTGGGAAAAATTACTCTCGCGCGTGAAAAAAGTCCAAAAAAACGGAATTCTCGCAGCAGGTGCAAACTTATATGTTCATTATCAGGTGGCGCAACATAATTACTGCAGGAGGAGCCACGGGCACTTTCTAAAGCGACCCTGCCTGCGAGTCGGGTCAACGCACTGGCGCGAGTAGCGAAACGGCGGCCGGCGTCCAATCCGCGAGTCACTCCTCAGGTGAAGAGAAAAAAAAAGTAGTCAGTGTGTCATAGAGCAGCGATTTGAATAGACTCGGACAGATAAATCCACTCTCACTCTGCTCGACCGACCTTAATTTCCACTCAGCATGCACGTGCGAATCTCAAACTTGATTCAAATTTGACGATTTAATTTAAAGTAAATAAAGGAATCAACTTTTTTATGTGCCAACTTCACAATGATATATTATAGATTTTTTTTTTTAAACTTTTTAAGAGAATTTATGTGAATCTTTTTGTAGATTTCCTTCATAATTTGCAACTAAAAACAATGCAATTTGAAAGTCAGTTGCTGAGTTTGCAACTTCTTTTTTAAGAATCAAAGTTGCTTGAACCGTGTTTGTATTTATAAATATTTAGTAAAGCATAATTTTCGATTCGCAAGTGGCGAGACCGGTGCGCGCTTTAAAACTTGTCCCTCAACAGCGTGCTCGCTCTCTCAATTTTGCAACATTATTGAACCATCAGCGGAACACGAGGGGTCGAGTGGAAGGCAAATATCGAGCCGCAGCGAGCGAGATTGCAGCGGCGGCGGCGGCGGCGGCGGCAGCGGCAGCGGCGCTCCCCGCGGCCCGAGCCGCTCTCCCAACTGGGATAATATGTATTTTAAATTGGAGCACATCTCGAGCGAGCTATCTCGCGGTTCTTCTTTATCGGAGGTGCAAAGAGCACGAGGTGTGCACGCCGCGCGCGTCTTTCGCAACCGCTAATTGGCGACGACACTAATGCGCTAAGCAAAACTCGCCGGCGAATAATAATTGGCCGGTCACATGAGCGCTGCGTGGTAATTAGAGGAGGAATGCGTGCTGCGGCGATAAGTACGAGCATGTTTTTCGTTTTATCTCAACAACAAAAACGGGAGACGAGCCCCTCCACAGGAGAAATCTCTAAAACCTCGCAATTAACCTGCTCGAAACAAGTTTTTATTATTCAATTTATAAGTAAGAGTTGCGAATTTTAATAAGACTTGAATTGAAATTCGTTTTGAAAGTGACAGCTTCTTCGTGTTTGCTTTTAAATGAGGAAAAATTTAGGCAAAAAATAAATTTCACTCTCTCGCGTGAAGCAGTCAGATGGTGATTATAGTACTTTGTTTTGTAACAAGCGAGTTTCTTGGCCGGTTAGTCAAGAGAGATGCTCTGGCCGAGAAAAATCAAACAGAATCCAGTTTCAAGCGGCTCCCGCTCGAATCACCCGGGAATTCCGAGTGTCATCTGAGCGAGACGGGCATCCCAATTGGGTCAGATTAATTTGTATAAAATTTTAGTTTTGATTCGAAGGCAGGAGAAATCCTTGCGGCGCTCTCAATGAATTTCACTGGGAAATATTTTTAACACTCGCAGCCTGGCAAGGACACAAAAAACTTGGCCCGTGGAGACAAAGGAAGTTTGTTTCGGTAATTAGCCCTGTTGAAAAAACGCTCTAATCTGGAGGGACCATTGTTTGTTTTGGCAGATAAGGAGGTGAATTGAATATAAAAACAGAGATAAAAAAACAGCTGGTTTAAAGTTTTAACTCGTCTCGAACGAATGCAAATTTCGGATCGTCGAGGCCTCGATAAAAGGCGGCCGTGCTCGCGGGTTTCTGCAAATTTCCACTTTTCCACGATCGATTTTGCGCTGTCGGTGGTGTGCGGTGGGGAACCAGTAACATGCAGGGTGTAAAAAACAGGGCCAACAACTTGCGCTGAAATTCTAGAATGCACACACGCACTCACATACAAACAAAGCGCAAAGTAAAAAATATTATAATAAGCGTGACAGGGGTTTTGGAACATTAATTTATTCCTTTCTTTTTGCACCAGTTTCGCCAAAACCGAGAATTCTTTCTTTTCGTATTTGCAGATGTGAATAAGTTGATATAAATTAGTCGAGTTTGGCACGTGCCCAATGCAGCAGCAGCATTGGGCACATCCATCACGGCGAATTCGGCGCTGCACTTTGCAGCAGCGCGCGTGCCCGCCCGCCCGGGGCCGGCCGGGGCGCGACCGGGCCGAAAAACGAATCGATCGGCCGCCGACAGGGCCGGCGAGAAAAATAAAGGGAAAAATCGGGCGAAAGGGCCCGAGTGGGCTGAGAGGCGCCTGCAGAACGAGCTCTCTCTGGCCCGCCTGCTGGTGCCTAGCTCTAGCTCTGGATATTGATTAATCCAACGCGCGACTGCCAGAAGCGGAGGAGCAGTTGGCACAGGCACCGACGCACTCTTTTGCTCACTCGCAAAACAATACAAAAAAAAATTCAAATTTCCACCAATTTCAAAATTCGTTCTAAAAGATTAAATATTGGAAAAAATTAACAGATTAATTTACAAGAAAGTTTTTTATTGTTGGATGAGGTCGCGATTTTTTTTCCTTTTTTTTTCTTCGACCATTTTGGCAAGCACTGGCGCAAAAAGAAAGAAAGAAAGAGGACTTTGAGGACAGGGTGGATACCTTAGCTTTGCCGTCAGCTGTCATGTTGTCGTCGGGCACAGATGGAATGGTAGCTACGCGATACGAATCTGAGCGTCCATGCTAATAAAAAAAACAACAATGCATACGTACAAAACAAAAAATAACAGAAATGTATAAATTAATGGGGCACAAACTCAAATATTCATGCAATCGATAGTCACGTCATCCTTATCTCGCTCGCAATCGATGCATTCTCAAGATTGCATTGACCGATTTATTGATCGGCCGATTTTATAGGCTTGCGTACATAAAATTGTGAGGAATCGTGCTCGAAATATTGATTTTCGCGAGACCAGCAGGTAGAGGAGTGAGTGAGGCCGCGGCCATTTCTCTGCTCACCCGACGACCGGCTGCGAAAATCTGCTCTCGCGAAAAATTCTCATGTAAATTTAGGAGGAGACAAGGAGGAAATGATATTCGGTCCCATTCACACTCGGCGGCGGCACACAAATTTTATACGGGGAGAGAGAGAAGAGCAACACGCATGCAAGCTCCACTATTAATAGACTATTCTAAACGGGCCAGGCCCACAGGCCGGAGCGAGACACGTCTATTTTTGCACAGTCCACTTTTCGCTACAGAGATAAATGTCGGCAGCAAAACTAAATTGGAAAAAAGTAGGCAGAAGCAGCTAAAAAAAAACAAGCACTGGGTTCCCCTAATTTTTTTATCGCACTTCGTCTTCTTCTTCTTCACTATACAGAAATTTCTAACGTGAAAACTAATTTTGAAAAGAAAAAAAATGCATGTATGCACGAATGAAGCTCTGGGGTGGTTTTTTTTAAAGAGAATATGAAAAGTAGTCTCTTCTGCGGTCCACTCGTGTATTTCTGGATGGAGAAGCACTTTGCTACTAACCTTATCACCCATGTTGAATCACTGATTAAATAGGACCTCTGGTATCCAATAAAACAAGTGTTGTGCACCGATTGCGGGTGCGAGAGTTTGTGGTGAGTCGGCGGCGGCGGCTTCTTCTTGAGGTGTTGCTAACAAACTGAATCCAATTCGGTGCTGCCTTTGGAAAAATAAATTAAAAGGGCCGTTCGCACAGATGTATGAGCCTGTGCCGGTCGAAGCCCGAAGAGAAGCTGGCGCTGGCGGTTTCGACGGCAGCAGTAGGCACCGGAGTTGGGGAACGAGGAGGAGTGTGGGGGAGGCGGTAGTGGTGGTACACGGGGTCTGGGCAGGCGACTCAGACGCACCAACCCACTGGCGACGGCGCTGAATGCCAACGGTCCCCGCTAAAGCTCGCTTTATCTGCGCCGGAGAGCGAACGTCGCTTCAGGTCCTTGCACGGGTCACTCGAACTACTGAAATCAAACACAAATTTACTCATTAAAACAATTCAAAATATTTAATTTACAATTAAAATATTGCGTCAAGTTTGTCTTTTTTAATAGAGTTTAATTTATAGCATGATTTTAATTAAAATAATTATTTAATTTTATGAAATTACTTAATTATTGTTCTAAATTCAAGTAAAACATCCGTAACTGAACTTTTAACTATAATTTCTAGCGCCTTTCTAGCAATATTTAAATTTTAAACAATTAAAGTTTGCGCAACATTTTTTTCCTAATTCCGTGCCATTTTCAGTCAGCCTTGCAAAACATGTGCGCGCCTAAACACACTAATTGAGAGCAGCGACAGATGCAAATTCCGCGCCCATGTTTTGCGAGCGGATCAAACTTGGGTTAGATCATGACTGGCAACTTCTTTCTCCGCCCTTTTCTTTTCTTTTGTCATTTCTTTACCACTTAAGAGTGCGAGAGTGCCAAATCTGCAGTACGAGTGAAATTCGCGGCTCAGGCAGATTTCCACTCCTGCCTTGCAAAGTGCACTGAGAAAATAAATAATAAACGTCAGCGCGTTTCGTGACTAATTGGCCGGAGCGCACTTTGCCCTCGCAGCCGTGACATATCAGATATTAATGCGCGTAATAATCTTCAGTGACAGGGCTAACCAAACTAATTCCTTGCGACCCCTTTTAAGAAAGGTCGAAACTGCAATTAGGACAAAACGGACAAAACTATTCATTATTAAATGCGTTTAGGACTTTAGATGGAAATGAAGTTGTCCTTGTTTAAATGGGAAAAGAACATAGAACATAATTTTGTTTGATTAGCACTTCAAGCAAGAAAAATTACAACTTAAATAATAATGACAAAATAATTCACATTTGGAGAGGCAAAGCAATGGTAATTTTTCTCAGCATTGCCATTCATTTGAAAATGTAAGAAAAATGTATACCATTGGAAGAGCTGAATTAGTGAAATTTATCATTGTTTTTAATGGAAATTTTCTAAAATAACTTTTTTCTCGAAATTAGCCTGACCAAAATTAATAAAAATGTTACCAAATCTAGTTAAATTCACCCTAAGTAAATGGAAAAATGAAATCAATAGGTCAGTCGAAAAAAAATTACATTTTGATGTTATGTGAAAGTTTCAGAAGCTTTAATTTTAGTGTAGATATCATATAAGCTTCTTGTTTAAAAAAATTGGAATTAAACTTGATTTTTTTTAACATTCTTGTTTCACGAAGATCTCCACTTTCTTCTCTTTATTGGCAAGTCAAAGTTTCAAAATATCTTGGCGAAGTTGATGTAAAAAGTTTATCAGGGGTGAAGATTCTCACAATAAAAACTGTTATCACACATTTCGGCCCGCTTTCGTGGGGTTGGAACGGCCCGGATAAGGCCGTCTTGGGGGGTGCAGATGGAAAATGCCATCCCCTGTATGTAGGGCACGAGATTTGGGGGAAAAACGAGCTTCCGCCGGCGCGGTGTGTAGTAGATCATCGGCGAGAGCAAAGTCGGTCGGTCGGTCGGAGCCCCGAGTGGGTCCGCGTCGCCGCAATACACTTTATTGAGCGGCGGCTCGGCCGGCTCGTCGTACACCCCACATCGAGTGTAGCATTGCAAAGCAAAGCTGGCCAACTTTGCACGGGCGGGGGGCGGCCGGGGGGAGGGCAGGGGGCGGCCGCGAGCACCGTCACCATCGAGCAAGCGCCACTGACGTCACACTGCGGCGGCGTCACCAAAAACTATGGCTACCAACCCCCCTGGCCCGTCCGTCACTTCACCCCCAGCACGGTTCGGTCGGGGCCTCTTTCGGTCCCCGATCGCAGATTCTGCAAAACCGAGGCCAAAGGTCGTTGCCCGCGGCGTTATGCAAATCCGCGGGGTCGTTGGCTCGCCGTCGGGGTGCAGCGAATGCAGACGCGTTTGGCCTAGATTTTCGCCGACATGGGCGCCGGCGAAGTTTCTCCGCCGAGAGCTCACTCAAAAACCCGATGCACTTTTTGCATTGAAATAGAAAAGAAGGAGTAGATTTTTTAAAAGACAAATACAATAACAATCAGAAAGATTATAAGTAAAATTTCATAATTTTTTTTTCTTCATTTGGAAATATTAAAAAATATATTAGATAAATTAGATAAATGATGTATCCCGTTAAGGGCAGCAATTGCCTTTGTGATAGATCAATAAACACAATTTGCAACTAAAAATCAGTTTTTTCTAAAAATTGTTTGTGTTTCAGGGTTTAATTATACTGAAAAAAACTTGGCTTTAAAGAATGTAATCTCTGTTTTCTTTAATTTAATCAAATTTTTTTATTTTTTAGAGAAAGAAAAACATAAATTTTTGAGTCATTGTAAATTAATTAAAGAAAAAAATTTGGCAAATAAAGCACAGTTTCAGTAAAACCTCGTAGAAACCTTCTTTTTTAATTAATTCGTTGGGATTTTTCCCTTGAATTGTTACGAGACCGTTATGCACGGCTTATGTAATGTGCAATGTCGTGTACTGGAACGCTTTTAGGCGGTTCTGCGTGACCACAGTTGCTTGAGCCACTTTATATCCGAAATGAATGAGCCGAGAAGAGCACTCAAGGTCAAAGGTTAGCCCCGCGCGTTTGCATAGATGCGTGTGCGAGTCGCGCTATCGCACCGGCCATGACACGAGAGCGCTTGTTTTTTTGCTTTATTGCTCGCAAACGATTTTTATGTCACTTTTTACTCTGATATTTGCGCACAATCGGTATGTTTTCCTCGCTGACCGCACTTGTTACAAACTGGGAAATGCCTCTTGAAAGAAAAACCCACGTCACACTTCTTCTTGTACCAGGAAAATAATACGTTCGAAGATGATAACAAAGTTGAGGGGAAAACGGATGCCTTTAATATCGGTTTGCTTCAGTTTTTTCTGCCGCCTAAGAGGAAGTTGCGGCGATCAAACTTTTCAAATGTGGGGAAATTCGTTTCATTTTTAAATGTTTAAATTACAGCCCAACCATTTTTTTCTGAAAAGCAAAATATATATAATTAATTTATAATTTTTTCAGGTGTTTGTATATTTTGATTTTTCAGTGTCTGGCGTTTTCAGTATCTTCAAATTTTTTAAATTTCCAATAGAATTAAATTTCCAATTACCTGCATTTAGAGGTATTCAAGGTTAAAAATTATCTTGCAAACAAACCAATATTTTGAATAAATTTGTTATTGGTTTGCATTTCTTGGAATTCTTTTCCGCCTAAATAATTGAATTCACCTTCCTTATGCACAATATCAAAACAATTTGCGAAATACATCTTTTGTAGCAGAATTCAGGGAGCGCGTGTGTTTTTGTTTTTCAGCCTTAACTGCATCCGCAGCCTTGCCATTGGTCCCCTCGCAATAATTATCCCGCAGCTCAATTATGGAATCCAGTTCTGAAAGGATGAGTTTTTACCAAGGTCACGGCTCTTTTTGGCCAGCTCGTTTTTCATTGTGTGGAGAGAGATCTGCATGCACAGCAGCTCAAATCGGGCCGGGGTATCTCGCTCGCTTGGCGACACGTGATGCCCTTTTGATATTATCCAGGTGAAGGTCGCGCCGATGCATGTCTTTTAAAGAGCTCCACTGCGTATATCTATCGGCAGCTTCAGAAGCAGAAGCGTTTTTTACTCCGTGGAAATAAAAACTTCATCAGCGTGCGGCCATTGCGGCGACATCCTTCCCCGGGGTTCTATAATTTTTAAGGGGGATGGGCTCAAAAGGTGCCGCTCTCTCGGGCGGAAAGGTCGCGATTGTTTGCACAAGTTCCCACAGCGGAACTTCTCAACCGCAGACACGTCTCCCGGAATTAAATTTTGGCAAGAAAAATTGCTTCTTTCGTAATAAAATTTGAGTTAACACTAGGCTATTGCAAAATTGTCTTAACAAATAATTAATTTTATAGTTTTCGCAATTGCTGATTTTTTTTGTAAAACGATATGACAGTTGAATTAAAATTTAATAAATTGAATTTCGGAATGAATTTGAAAGCTCTGTATAGCATCATTTCAAAAACAATTCTGGGCTGCTTCCTGCTTGTCAAGTGCCCTATTATTTGCCTTTGTGTTTACTGCGTTTTCGTTTCCATCAATTCTGTTGTTTGAGGCCATTTAGGCGACAAATGGAGCTGACAAAGAGTCCATTTAATGGCCAATTGATGGTCTCGCCTCGCAAGTATGGTTAAACGAGAGCTTACATTATATGGCAGCTTAAATTTCACGGCAAAAAGTTGGTACAACGCGCGATTCTGTGGGTTCTTTGACATAGTTATCCAAGCCCTGAAATGGATACCGCATAAAAAAACGAATGAAACACAAGTATTGAAAATAAAACCCATTTTAAAATTCAAATATTTCCTTCTCCACTATATTTGCAGGTCAAGTTGAAATAATTTCAATATTTATTTTTTAAAGTGATTATCTAGTAATATAACTTAATTAAAGTGACAAATTAATTGAATGAAAAACCAGTTTAAAATAAATTTAAACATTTTCTCATCATTTAGCTTTAGTGCAATTGAACAATAATATTGTAATTGAGCCGGAATAATGCACTTGAGGGCGTGGTTTGCAACTGGAACTGGAGCATCACCCCAGGGAGGACCCGCGCGCGGCCTGATGTTCACGCTCTTTTTTACCGCGCTAACGAGCCGAGCGGCGAATTTATCGCTTAATAATTCATTTGCAAGGGTAATTAGACGGGAGATGCGTGTGCATAATAAATGTGTAACACTCCTTTTGTGGGGCGAGTCGAGGCCTTGCAATTCTCAATAGGAATGCAATTGCAGGACACGAGGTTTTGGAGCTTCTCGGCAGCCCACTTGGCTTGGCTTCCACCCAGTCTATGGAATTGTTCCGATCCGCGCGCGACTATAATGATGCGGCCCGTATACATTCATAATAAAAAATGCCGCGTTAGTTAATTTATTTATAAATAGACGCGCCGCCGAATAATAATATAACCGGGCTGACTCTTTCGGGTCGTTCGCCGACCA